AGGAGCCCAGAGCCCCCCCATAGAGACACAAGGTCAACGCAGTGGACCACTCACAAGGACACACGCTGCCCTCCATTGAATATACTACTAATAATACACATCACTACTGTACTAAACATGGGTTAGATCGTACGTTTTTCTGTTGTATGCTATCATTTGCATTTATTTTACATTTTGTTCATGGTAAACAATGACTACTGAGCTAAAAATAACTAAAAATAACTTGGAAAAGGTGTCAAAATGGTGAACTGAAACTAGCTTGGTCTGATTCCTAAACCTCAACTAGTACATTTGAAGACAGGTTTCTGTACATTTTTCACATATTTCTGATGCTAAGAAAAACTGGGGTACTCATTTTTGTGAACATCACCCTCAACCTATGTAAATGACTCTGAATTTTGTTTTTAAAAAAAGTCTCCACTGAAAAACATGTAATCTTTCATTAATTTTTAACTATCTGGTGTGGCCTTGTCAAAAGCATGCATTACTCCATGGGTGGGATGAGCTAAGACTTTGTGCTTGGGTGCTTCTGGGACTGTCTCTCTGTGAATAAAAGTACATTTAGAGCCAGATATACACTTCCTGTATTTTAAACAAAGCACAGAGTCCCAGAGCAGTGAGCAGTGAAGGAAGACTGAGGAACGCACTGACAAAAGAGCAGAAGAGGAGCTCCGTCGTGCCACTGTAATCTCTGCTTCCTGTCAAATACAACATGAAAGCACAACATGGCTGACACAGATCCAGCAGGAAAGCTTTGGGAAGATTTGAGAAAATATGTGGCTATATATTCAGCTACATTTTATTAATAGCTGGCAGTAATTTCAGTGTAGAATTGTTTATCAGTACAGTAAACCAGGTATACTTTATAATAGTCATAAAAATAACATAGCCTTGCACTAAAATAACACTTGCTTTGACAAAACTTTACAAAGAAGTGTGGGCCTGGAACCATATCCTGTCTCCCTGATTCCACAAGACATGAGATAAACCAAACAGAGACGCATGATCCGTTTGTGTCAAGACTAACATGGTGGATTACATGTAGTAAAAAAGGGAAAATAACGCGAAAAAAAAAGGGAAAATAACACGAAGGGCTAAGTAATAGCATGGATTTCTTAAGAAGCAACACGCAAAGCACGAAACCGTTATTTAACTGTGGTAAAAGTCAGATTTCGTTTGAATGTCATGAGAATTTTCAAAAGATGTCTTCTGCATTTGAGAGACACGTGACACAAATTAGTGGTTGTGGTTGAACCATCCCAACTTAGGATGGCGGTGTGAAGTCCTCATTTCACACTTTCAAACATAATGTAGACGTGACTGGCTGGTCAGGCAAGTTATATGAACGATCTACAGCTTTATGGCTGTTTTGTTTGAATTGCATTTTCAAAACTAATCACAATTGACACTGTGAAAATTGTAAACGGTGCAGTTATTTAAAGAACATTATTTCCTCTGCAAACAACAAATAATTATCCTGTCTGGGAAACAAAACCACCAACTATTCTGAATCTGAACTCTACAAACATGATCAGAAACAGATTTGAAATTAGTGGTAGATCAACCATCATACTTCAATCTTCTCTCAAACTCTAATGCTCCTGGGACTGTTCAGAATCCTAAACCCTAACTTAAGCAAACAAAAGCTAATTGCAAATTTTTTTTTTTCTGAAAGTCTAAGTGCCGAGAGCCAAAGAGGACCTGATGCCGCAGAGAAGGTGCATGTTGTCTGTGAGCTGGGCTGCTGTGTTGATGTGCTCCTATGTGCTGACTGTGACTAATGGAGTGAACAGAGTAAACATGGAGTGCTCCGGGTCTATCAGCCACAGCAGCAGAACAATGGGGACTTGTATTAACTCTATTTACTTTGGATGTTTTTCTAATGCTGTCAGCTAAATGTTAAAAGCTACACTCGCAAACTTGTGACCTGCAATTACACAGGCGCCCGCCCGGGAAATCATAAAAGTAATGATCACCAAGTCTATTTTAGAGTTTTATTAGGCGTTATTATCTAGAATCAAAAATCACAGTTGTTTAGTTAGTCTAACCACCTTTTTGCAACAGTGTGATTGTAAAACTACTGGGATAAATGAAGTTACTGAAATAAAAATATGATTTGTAATTTCTGAAATACCAATATTTCTTCTGCAATATGTCTGCATGTGCATGATGTGTCTTTTCAAACAGACTAATGAGTTAAAACAAAAATAGACAAGCACTTAGGCTAAAAATATGTCTCTATGTGAAAAGTGAATTTGATTAGGGGGTATGACACTTTCATGGTCTATTTATTGCTAACACATAACATATTTAGACTACTATTTCACCTTTTATTTGGCTTATGGTCTAAGTCTAATCATAAGAACGTTTCGATCAGTGCCCGTGAGCAATTGCAAGATTATGCAAACATGAATGGATGACATATAAAACCTCTTCAGGCATGCTTTTGATCAGAGAAGTGCCAAAAAGTCAATTTGCATCCCAAATTTAAATGGCCTTGTTTTGGATTTTAAAATCTTAATGTCTGTAACGGATTCAGTAAATATGCGGTATCAGATGTACCAGCAAAACAAATGTCAGTAAAGGTGCAAAGAATCCGTATCAAGCAATCCCTGCTTTTTTCCCCACACACACTACAGAGATATCCTTAAACAGTAGCCTGGTTCTTCTTACGTCACTTAGCTTCTCCAGAGGCCATAGCGCTGGAGTAGAACAGATGCATTGAAAGACAGGGAAGGCTACAGGCTGACACCAGCGCCCTGACTATAAAGCGATGATGATGTCTGCACCGTGAAGACGTCACAATCAGATGGAACACAAAAAGGAGATACCAGACAATAGATAGCAAACACAGACACAGCATGGAGTAGAGTGGATAAATGGTAAAGGATTAACAAATTGTACATTGTAAGATAATATATTACCAAGAGATGTTTTTATATTTCTATATGTGTTGAATAAAAAAGAAAAGAAATAAATGGAATCTTTCAAGACTAGGTTGTTTAAAATGGCATAAAGCTACACAAGATTCAGCTGTTCAAATTGAATAATGCAAAAATGACATTAAAGAAAGGTCTTGTAAAATGGAATAATTACACAGTAAGGATTCATAACAGAACAAGAAAAACACAATAGAATGAATGAGTCTCCAGACATAATAACAAACCTCTTCGATTAGACCAGAACCATTACAATCTTGGCAATGCTCAATCAGCTAAAGCAAAACATAAGTCACTCCAAGCATTAAAAGAATACAAGAGAGTACAACCTTAAAAATACCGCCTCGATATAATTATAGCTGCTGTCAAATTGTGTTCCATCATCTGAGGTGACACGACTTTTGAAAAAATAAAAAAATACAATATATATAATGATAGTTTAAACAATAATTCGCTTAGAGAAGGCGGTAAAATGAAGAGAATGAAAGAACAGATGGAATGAAAAGATTAAATGAAAATAGGTTATGTATCTCAGAGGAAAGGATTGTTGTAAAAGTACTGTACGTGAAAAAAGGTACAAGCTGTGAGCAACTACAGGAAACATGATTGTAAACATTGATAGAGGAATAGTCATAACTGTATTGAAATTTGATAAACTGCCCAGCCCTAATGTCTTCCCATCTCTCTTGACATGATTTGTGGTATAATGTATGTGTTAATTTACTCTGCCACCAGCAATCAAATTACTTTCGGCGATACTAGCTTTATCCATCTTAATCAAAGTGATAACATTACAATAAGTGCAATTACCGTTTCCCTCTTTAGCATAGCTGGCATTCTTTAACACTGAGTTCATAAATATTTCAGATGGTTGGTTTTGTGGGATGTCATCGCACGATCGAACAGAACAGAGGCGTGTCAGAGGCAACAGGTCCGGCTATAGAGACTCGCACTTCACGTTTTTCAAGTCAATCTCCAACCTCTGACTCCAGCCCCAAGTGACGGCGCCAGACGTTAAGGTTGTTAAGACCAAAAGCAAAAGTTATTCAGGGCTCCAAGGGACATTATAGGGTTGAATAAAATTGATCGCCTGTCTGTGTCAACTATAGATCAAGGCATCAACTAAAAGAGGCCAATGGGGCAAAAGAAGCATTTCTATAACTGCTTACACACTACATATTTTCGATTCATTCACTTTCCAACCATAGCAGCTACTGTACTGCTATTTTAGTGTTTTTACTCAAGCACAAGAAAGTTTTGTTGCAAGTTACTCATTGAAAACTTGAAATTGTTTTCTGTAATGGCAAAAGTTTGCCATAAACAACACTATAATTTGTTCATTATTTGACAGGCAGCAAGACTAATCATCAAAATGCTATTATTAAGCGACTTAAACATAATGCGATGTACATTCAATAGATAATTACTATTTATCTTAAGCCTATATCACAATGAAAGAATGACCGAATGAATGATTACACTATCAAGGTTTAGAAAAATATAAACTACAGTAATAAAGTAGTAAAAAGTATCATTTTGATACAGTCTGCACCCACATATCAATAAATGCTGTCTCAGTTTTGGTACCCAAGATGCTGAAGATGCATTGATCACAACATAAAATTAAATGTAACGCATGAAGTAATGTTTGCAAGATCAATCTATATATACTATATATTATATATAATAACAAACCCTGATAGTATCTCATTTGGTTTGACAGAAACTAAAGCAATTCTCAAGTCTGTAGTAAATAAGCTTTTAGCACAACATGGATGTGAACAGTAGGCTTAATTTACATTTTTAGACAGATCCCATGCTTGTCTGGAATTTCTGAAATAGCCCACAAATCCAGGATACGAGCAGTGTCAACACTCTGGTCAGTTTCACCTGTGGTCGCCTTGACAAGTTTATCCAAACCTAAACACCCAGCGCTAGCAAATGTTAGCGGAGTTAGCTTATGTTAGCCTACCGCCTAGCCAGACTTAGAAGGGTTAAAAAGCTCATAGATGCTTTATTTTTGCGGTTGTGAAGAGACCGGATGAACAGATGACTACTCACCCTTTATAGTAAGCTTTTACCCGGACTTGATGTGAATTTTCGCCGGGGTGGGACATGGTGCTGTCCCGCAACGTCGGCATCATAAGCTCCGCCGCGGTCACTCCGATGTTACCCCTCTCTCTCCTTCCTTCTTTGGCTTTCAAGTTACGTACCACGCCCAAAACTCTCTCTTTTACCGGTCAGTGTCACCCGTGGGAATCATCGAGATCATTGATGTATAGAAATGTTTAAAGTTAAAGTCCAAAGTAAGGCAAAAATTACAAGTAAAGTAGTGAAAAACTTAAGAGGTCTGTCTAGCAACTCCCTACTGCAAAGGCCTGGTGCCGGGCTGAACCATTGTGGGAATGTGGGGGTGTTTCGGTTTAGCATCACACACAGAAATAACTTTATAACTTTTTATTTTACGAAACAATCATCCACTCATTTGACTTAATGCTATTTCTAAATTATTTCACATATAGTTTGTGAAATATTAATGTCATAATGTATAGAAACTATTTTCAATTTGCGGTGTACATTCCGACTGTACCAACTTGAGCTTTTCTTGTCGGTTATGTGCAGCATTCAAAGACACATACAACCCCTCCAGTCATCACATTCAAGTGCACTGATTTATAAACAAATATAATACTACTAAAATAAAATATCTAAATACTACTTGAACTATTATCACAGTGGCTTTACATAAGTTTATCATATTTGTTCAGATTTTTATTAATTAACATTTATATATTTATATACCTTATAAATTAATTAATACTTTTTAAAGTTGCACTGTAACATTTCTTGTGGAGGTTCTCATCCGTGCTTGTCTACAGTGTATGGCAGGGGTCTCCAAGTTTTTTTCTCCGGTGAGCTACCTGTACAAAACGAAAATGCTTCTAGAAACTTGAATAATAAGAGCCTTAGATGAGGTACAGTTAGATGCCTATAAAACATACACCATTATCTATTTATTAGTGAACAAAGTTAGAAATCAAAATGATACATGTACATAGGTAAAAAGGCATTTAATTAAATAAATAATTGGAAGGGGGGTGGAGAGGTACCAGTAGCTCCCAAGCTACAGGTTGGAGACTCCTGGTGAATGGTGACCAGACATTCCTTTTTACCTGAAACAGTCCCAGCTTTGAGCCTTGTGTCCCCGTCCCAGCAGATTTTTACAAATCAGTGATTTGTCTCAATTTTATACAAGAAATGTCCCAGTGACCCTATTTTTGAACAATCTGATACCTGCCAAAAGTGAAGAGGGGCATATATTGTTGTTTGTTTAGGTAAAAATACAGAAAAGCTGCTTAAAAATTACAAAAAAGCAAACAAAATGTGCCGAGTACATAACAGTTTTTCTTAATTATTCACTCATTTCACAATTTTATTATTACCAAGCAACCCAAACCAGGGACAACAAGTTTTTTAATTTTGAAAATCTAGTGAGATGTTATTGCTTTGCCTGGAATGTTACACAATATGGCATTAAACTTATCTATTTCATAGACCCAAGCTTGTGAGGTCAGATCTGTGTGGAGGTCACAGTAAGAATGTTTGATTTTCCATATATTTTTAAGCACTAAAAACACTCATAATTTAATAAATGTAGATAGATAACTATAATGGAAGAGAATTATTGAATCATGATGTGGATACTATAAACTAGTCCTGAATCATTAATGGATTCTTGTGCTTCTCTTCGGACACTGGCTGTGCTGTGGACCCATGCTGACAGCTTTTGGATGAGTGACCCCAGGAGCAGTGACGCCTGATGGGGCAGAAGAGAGGGACATCACACAGGGAGGACTACCACTGACCACCGAAGCAGGAGAAGAGGGCAAGAGTTGCATCCAGGGACCATTACAGACCACCAGAGCTGGAGGAGAGAGCAAGGGAGGCATCCAAGGTACACCAAGGACCACCGGGGCAGGGGAAGTGGGCAAATGGGATATCCAGGGACTGGCAAGGACCACTGGGGAGAGATGGTATGAATAAACATAATAAGCTACACTGCTCTAACACGCACCAACAAGCTCTGCATTCTCTGATATCATCTGAAAATTTCAACATAAAAGGCCTACGATTTTGTCATGTTTATTGTTAGGGTTAGGGTTAGTATTTAAGAGTTTAATTCAAATAGCAATAACCCTTTCATAGGACCCAGCATATATTGGTACATTTATTATTTAACAGTTGTTTATCATGGAACATAAAGACCAACACTATTCACTTTTATGCATTTAAATCAAGTTCCTGTGGTGTCTTGATCTTTATTAAAGCCACAGTGAGATGCATTATACTTGTTACAGGCTAATAAAACAATACTTGGTTTACAATAAGGCTTTTCTAACCAAAAGATTCAAATGATGGTTTAATTTAATTCAATTTAATTCAAAGTTACACACTTTTCAGGTGGATAGTCTGCCATCAGTCTGGTCAAATGGTTTAGCTCTATGGAGACAAGCAGGTAAAGCCAACCAAGTTACAAGTATAACAAAAAGAGAGAATGCATGTTTTTCAAGTTATATATGCTGCAATATTAACACCTAATGAAATGAATACAATATTACAAGTTTAATGCCATACTATGGAACATTTCAGGCAATGCAATAATATTTTCCAAAAGTTTTCAAAAATATTAATAGTTAAAGAAATATTGTCAATAGCCTATGTATTATAAGCCTGATTCGTCAGCCGGTTTCACTTTGTGGAAACTGCCTGACCTTGCAGCATTAGAATTCGTTCGCGGCGGGTACTTTTTTAAATTTAACCAGTCGCTGCTATTTGGTCATGACATATGTAATGTGCCGCTAACGGGACTAACTGGTATACTATACTTTTCCCCAATCCCATAGGAAGAAGGGCAATAACATCTTTCCCCTTGATAAAATTCACAAAACATTCTCTTCGTTCCAGCTTTAAATCCTCAATCTCGGGAATCATTGCCCACACAGAATGTACGGCTCTTCACTGAGTGGCTGGTGCCCGGACTCACACTTCCGGCATGCTTGCAAACCGTCTGTATTCTGATTCCTGACCTAGTTGCTGGAGAGAAATGAAATTGACTGAATAGCAGGTGTTTCCAGGAAGCACCAAGAGCAAAGATCATCCTGTCCGAGTGTCAAAATCTGGCCTGGATCCAGCCCACTGAACTGCAAACTGTAAATGTACTTTAGCAAATAAATTATCATTGAGGAGAATGCAAACTCTGATTAAATGTATCATAATATCTTTTTTATTTTTTTATTTTACACTATTACTCATCACAATCCAATATGAACCAAGAGACAGCACAGGTCCGCCTCCATCTCCATGGAAACGTCTACCTGTCCCAGAGCAGCACATGCAGCAGGACGCCCTCTGCATCTTTCTCTCTGACATAGAGAGGGGGCAGGTGATAGACTGCACCGAGAGCAGGTGGTAGACTGCACCGGGATCTTCTACCTCACTGCAGTGTCGGGCAGTATACGTTAATGTAGTCCATCTAATAAAATACAAAGACAAAAGCAGCAGTGAGTGAAATGGTGAATTATTTTATTTATTACAGTTACCAATGATTACTCAGTGTCTTTTAATCATCAACCAAAACAGAACACATTTTTTATATTTTTTTTAAAACACACAACTCAAAAGATAACTGATAAGGTTGAACAAAAGACAGCAAATTGTGCCAAAATGGTGAAAAACAAGGATCAAAAAAATGAAATTGATCTAAAAAATCTGGACGAGTGGATCAAACAACTGAGAAAAGACTCAAACAAACCAGACTCAAGAGGAGAGGCAAGAACTGGAGAGATGCATGTTTTATTTAGCAGCAAGTTATTCCAATCAGTATCTTGTTATTTGCTGAATATTGTACACCGTTTAAGTTTATTTATTGGCAGGTTAGCAATATTCGAACAAGCACATACTGTTGGCGTCCCCGTGTTGACATTTTGCCGATGGCTTTTATTATGAATGCTGCTGTGACTGTGTGACTATCGGTGGAGCCAATTTAACCAACAGAGCCAATTTAATTTATCAATAATGTGTCCTAACTTTGTAAAAAAAAAAGTGAAAAACATCTTTCATATCAAACTGTTGACTCACTGAATCAATATATGGCTTTTCAAAAACACTTGAGTAAAAGACTTTCATTGTGTACTGTAGATGGAAGATTTAAATGACCATATTACTACACCTCTTTCCATTTGCTCTGTTTTTCTTTTCTTTTAGGGCTAATTCTGGTTTGTGGATGTTCAAACTACAGGAGAGATCTTCTGGCAGAGTCGTTACTGTGACCAAAGACCAGTTTGTGAAGCAGGTCTGTTTATCTCTCTTTGTACCCCCCCCCCCCCCTCTGTCTCTCTCTCTCTCTCTCTCTCTCTCTCTCTCTCTTTGTCTCTCTCTCTCTTTCTCTCTCTGCCTTTCATTCTCTCTCTTCTCTCTGTCTCTCCTCTCTCTCTTACACACACTCTCTCTCATCTCTGTCTCTCATTCTCTGTCTCTTCTTTCTGTCTCTCTCTCCTCTCTCTCTCTCTCTCTCTGTCTCACTCTGTCTCTCTTCTCTCTCTCTCAATCTCTTTCTCCCCCTCTCTAGCTCTCTCTCTCTCTCTCTCTCTCTGTCTCTCATTCTCTCTCTTCTCTCTGTCTCTCTTCTCTCTGTCTCAATCTCTTTCCCCCCCCCTCTCTCTCTCTCTCTCTCTGACTTTCATTTTCTCTTTCCTTCTCTCTGTTTTTCCCTCTCTATCTCTCTCTTTGTCTCTCTCTGTCTCTCTCTCTGAGTTTCATTCTCTCTCTTCTGTCTGTCTCTCTCTCCTTCTCTCTGTCTCTCTCTATCTCTCTCTCTCTTTGTCTCTCTCTCTGCCTTTCATTCTCTCTCTTCTCTCTCTCTCCCTCCCTCTCTGTTTCTCTCACTTTGTCTTTCTATCCCTCTCTCTTACACCTTCTCTCTGTCTGTCTCTCTGTCTCTCTCTCCTCCTATCTCTCTGTCTCTCATTCTCTCTCTCTTCTCTCTCTCAAACACTCTATGCCTCTCTCTCTTTCTCTGTCTCTCCTTCTCTCTTTGCCCCCTTTTCCCCCCTTCTGTCTCTCAGTGTCATTTCTCAGTGTCCCAGTGCATGTTGGGAAATCAGGCGCTCCGCAGGGGTCAGTGCAGGGCCACTCTCTGGAGCACAGGAGCATCCAGATGTGACTGTGGGGCTCGACCTCATACATATATCAAATGATGAGGAATATTTTTGCATTTAGATAAAATTTGGGCATTGAAAATCTCTTTACTTCATGTTCTGATTGCAAAATAAGGTTGAGTAATTTTTTGTTAAAATCTTATCGGCCTAGCTGGCAGTGATCAAACAAAACATTGATTAAAACTGTTTCTGTATGTTTAATTTGATCTATTTACTGTAATATATTTTGAAGTCTGCACAAATTCACAGGTCCAAACAGACTCAATGGACGGACCCAGTGGAGGACCCGGGTCAAGTGCAAAGAGCAGGCCCCATCTGCCGTTTTCATGGGAACACATCTCCGGAGGAAACAGGTCCGACCCGAGCACCGAACCGTCCAACAAGTGTACCGCTACATCAAATCTCTACCAGGTAATAATAGGCTAGAAAAGGTGAAGTATAGACTAAACTGTAGAATCAGGCCTGCCATGATATCAAATTCTGAAGTGTGGCCTTCTTGGTCAGTATACTTGTACAGTATATGAGTCATAAAAGCTTGTTTTGTTGGTTTTATCCTGCCTTTAGGAAATGTAGTCAGTTTCAAACATGGTAGTTGTTGTCAAAATTTATGAATGGGAAAGTGACAGTAGGTTTTCTTATTCAAGGCTTTCAGCTTCTTGGTATATGCAACATTTTGAGGATGTTTTGCTATTTAATTGTTAATTCACCATGGCAACGGCCTTAATTTTTCATCATTTTGAAAAAAATACTACTAAACAAATATGCTGCTTGCACTGAATCTCTGGATGAATCTCTTTGTCCCTCTTTCCTCAGGAGGTGTGACGGTGGCAGAGGAGTTTTGTTCTCAGGAGATTGATGTAGCAGCTCCGCTCCTGATCACAGAGGGGCACCCGGTCCAAACCATGAACATCACTGGACCCTGCTCTCAAAATCTGCTCTCACATCAGCAAACTCAAAACCCTGACTACATACAAATAAAATAAAAAGCACATGTACTCCCATGTTTGTATTCATTAGACTGAGTTGGTTGAGATGTGGGTAAACTGACCAACCACCAGAGGGCAGTGCAGGCCTAGTCTGGACTGCAGTCTTCTTACATTCATTTAATTTACAGAGATTTGTGACCATAATGTATGCTTTTTTTTTTCTTTCTTTTTTTTTTTTTTTTTTAACTTATTTTAATTAAATAATTTTTGGTGCAAGTTATTAAGTTAGTTATGAAACAGCAGTAAAAATACAATACAAGTAAAATGCCAATAAAGTTACAGTGCAGATGCAATCATTCACATTGTCTCCTCATTTACGATTCATAATATACACTACACATACACTATATCATAACAAAAAATCCTATAAATGATAGTCATCCAGTTGAAATATAGCCTTCAATTGAAGACCATTTGTCCATAAATAAATCTGTCTTCATATGTAACCTTGCAGTTATTTTCTCCATAAGATACACATGCTTTATTTTATTTTTCCACTAGGTAACTGTGGGGGGCAGCGGTCTGAGCCAGGAGACCGTTACCATTTTTTTGACAATTAAGAGTAAAGTTTTTAGCAAATTAAAAATGCTAGTTGCTCTTTTGTCATTTGGAAAAATTCCCAACAGCACAATGGATGGCTCTAATATAATTTTGATCCCCAAACAGTTTTCAGTTTCGCATTGCACATTCAGGCCACTCCAACATTTATCTGAGGTCCCACCAAATTGACATGTAATAAAAGGAGTTCTAAAGAATCTATGTAATGTATGCTTTTTAATAAAGTTTTATTATTTGGACTAAGTCAACTGTGCACAGATGTAACAGTCCAAATCTTATCCAATATATGCAACACTTGGTGACCTTGTAAAAAAGGCAACACAAAATGTGATAAACTTGTGCAAGTCTTAACACCACAAAATGATTATTTCACATCCATTCATTTAGCAGTCCTGACAAGTGGGTATAATGAGTATGGGTATAATAAATTGTGATTTTGGCTGTGTGTGTGTGTGTATATGTACAAAATAAATGTGATCATCAAATACAGATCAAAAACCTAATGATGTGTGCCAGATAAATAGTGGATTTGTGGAGTAAATGTGGTATTTGAAAGACAAATCCAATAACATTTTCTGTGAACAGGTGTGAAGAATAAAAAAAAAAAATCTGATTAGTCACATCCAGTGGTGTGAATGTTAACATAGCAATAGATCTGTGCAATGGTATGAAATTTACAACACCAATATATATATATATATATATATATATATATATATATATATATATATATATATATATATATATATATATATATATATATATATATATATATATATATATATATATATATATATATATAAAACTTAAATAACTTTGTTATCGCAATTGTCATTTTGTATCAATATTTTTTATATCAATAATTCTAGTTTTCCTTTTTCATTAGGATTATGTGGGAATTTTAGAAAGTAATGATAACCTGAGGGTATGACATTCAAACAGTTAAAGTGACAAAGAAAAAATCACTTCTCAAGTCTTAACTGTCAAATAATTATTCCAGATCAACACAGTTTTGCAATTTTTGGCTGGAACAGTTTCATTATTTCAATTGATGCAATTGATTGTTGTGTGTGGAGAGAAATTATGGACTTATCAGTTTCCAAGCTTTTTGGGTCTGCTTATTGCAAATAACATCGTAGTGATGTTTGTTATCTAGAATGCAAAAACAAGACTGCCTATGATGGTTAGATTGCTTTGGAGCCACAAGTATCATTATTTTTTTCTTTATTTTGGGGTTAACCAAGTTTATTTCTTGCTGCAATAAATAATTTCTACAAATTTGTACCCCAAGATATTTCATTTTGTGTTTGACTGGAATGATTTTCATTTCTGACTCCTCTCCTTTAGCATGTGCGAGCTGGTTTAGCATGGCACCAGAGGGTCCTCACAGTGGGACAAACAAAGCTTTGATCTTATACTCAAATTAATCTCCACCACTTTGCTGTGTTTTAACACTTATAAACACACCTCTACAACCCTTACCTCTGCACAGATTTGAATTTCCAAACTACTTTAAAAACATGCATTCTTATAATGTGTTAAAAATAGAAAGAAAGACTTTGAAAGAAAGACTATTGTTGATTTACTTTTGTTTATTTGAAACAAGTCGAGACAGTCACAGCTCTTAGTTACAGCTCTGAATAAAATACAGTTTACTCTCTATAAGTGCATTTACATTTGTCTGATGAAAAATACTCTCTATGCTCACTCTAAATGGGGAATGTGCTGCCTGGATGTCAAGTCCCAATGGAATGTCTAAAGTCTATAACGCTTAGACAAATACAATAGGATACAGTACGTCTATGGTCCAGAGATGGTGAAAATGAACTAGAAATGCCAACATAGTCATTACATACAGATTGCATGCTCACTTTTTGGTATTGCGAGGCTATTGTGCAAATGTTCAAAGTTATGGATGAGATAGTTGGTGGTTACACAGGCATTGAGGTTAACTCATTAAGAGGCACTGTAATGATAAATGTCTTTCTTGTATTGAACAAATTTGCATATTTTTACTACAGTGGTTTTCAACTGATTGAGTTGCAGCTTCCTGTTAGAGGTGACATTTTGAGGACTTTTCATTGATCATAAGATGTCATATTTTGTCTTAAAAGGTCAATTGCTATCCAAATTTTTCATTATCTCCATAAAGAGAAAAGTTTAATGCCATACTATGAAGGCAAACAGGTAGCGCACCCTCCAGAAAAGTTAAATTGTGCATCTTTAATTCTTTAATTTTGAAATATATACATGACATTTATCAAACACAAAACTGCATATCTTAGGATCACAAGATTTTTTGGAAAAAGTCAATGGGGAAAATGAACAGTTGACTGCAAAGTTTATGGCACGTGTATTTTAATTTGGTTGCATCATTTTCAGTCAGTGTATTTTCATCCTTTCTGTGCCCCTTCTTATCAGTTGGAAATCACTGCAACGTTCAGTCTTAACAGAGTGCAATATAAACAATAAACAGCCCTGATATCAATGAAAACCTGTCAATGAAGAACCAAAATATCCGAGAGAAAAGAAGTTTGAAACAGCACCACATAATCTGAAATCGAAAATGATTTAAACAAAATACAAAATAACAGTAACTAATCTAAATTTTACAGTACATAAAATCTTTAAAAAATCATAAATAAGTTATAAAAGAGGAATGATTTTTTTCCCAAGGTTTCGTGCTGGCCTCTGGTGTTATAGAGAGGTGTAGTGATTGTGAATAGACAGCAGCAGAGTAGTTTAATATGACATCGGACCCGCACTAACTATAGCAACAGATGGTTTGGGGCTAGTACTGCGGGTTTGTATTGAAATTTGAATTAATTGAAGTAAAAGTAATAAAGATTAGCAAAATAAGGCTCAACTAAATGTTTTAAGGGTAGCACAGGTAATTTTTGCCCATTACTTCCAGAAATTCTCATCTCAAATCTCCAGCCTCCATCTGACTTTCTCCCTCTCCTTCTGCCTCCTCTTTTCTCACAACAATTAACTTAAATCCTCTATGACTACTTCCATAAATGCCCACCTATATTCCCCTCTCATCTTCCTTCATATTTATCACTTACTACTAAAGCATAACAATTTAATAGGGAGGAATTTGTCAATTTTTGTGTCATTTTGTATTTCAGTTGACAAAAATATATGTTTTTTTTTCCCAATCACATAAGTGTAAAGAAACCTAACAATGAATATCTATGAATGTGGTTGGCTAATTATTATGTTATTAGTTAGATTTTAATTTCAAGTTTTGTGTATAGAAACGTAAATAGGGTGCATATAAAAGCTTGGAATGACAGAAAATAGCTTTATATTTTATTTGTTAACCATTTTATGCCAAAAAGTTCTGTAATTAGCTTAATGTCTCTCTGCACTCTTCACCCCTATTCCATGTGCTTACTGTCCAATAAAATAAAACACATTTTAAAAACTCCCAAATCTCAACACAAACCCATGCTCTATACATGTATACTAGCCCCATTTGTGACGCGGGTCGGCCAATACTTGAAAGATGTAAATGTCTATTGATTAAGATTCTTACATTGCACTTATGGCATGCTGCTTGAACTCTGCTTCTCCACTGCTATGGACTTAACCAGCTCTTCCACCCAGCGCACCTCTGATGCCACCTGCTCTGCCAGTGCCTCATAGCGGTTCTCCAAACGACTGAACTTCCTCTTTAAGATATTGGCCGATTGCATGGTTAGACGAGTTTCCTCTTGGCTCTTCTTGCGCTGGGCCTGGGTGCGCTGTAGCTCCTGCCTGATGTGATTAAGATCAGTTGAAATGCTCAGGTTTTCCTCCTTGTACCAGCTCTCCTTTTCTTCGTAAATGGACAACAGGGCAGCCACATCATCTCTGCAGGATTTCTGGTTTCGTTCCAGGTCTAGTAAGCCCTCCTCGGCAGCGGCGATCTCCTCCAGGACTTGGGAGAAGCGCTCGAAGTTGATGTAGGTGTTGTTGGGGGGCATGCTGGAGTGGGATTTGATGGTGTACTCCTTTAGACGAGTGGTCTTCAGGCGGCGGCGCTCGGTCTTGGTGTCACGCTCCTCCTGGCGAACATTCCTCCTCTTAATGACCTGTGGCAAAACATAAATATATATGTTTAAAATTCAATAAATTTAAAAGAAATAGAGAACAAAATCTGATTTCAAAACTATATCCCATAATCATGATAATTCACCATTCAGATTCAAAACCAATGGAGTAAAATTACCTTAATCCATGGATGTTCAAGACTATCATCTATTGTCATTCTCTTCCTGCAAAACAACATTTTTATTAAATACATTTAAAAGATGGTCTTATTACGACTTTTATATAATGTATTATTTAATTTTATCGATTAAAGCTACAACACTTAAGTCCTGTTCTTACTTTGGATCTTTGACCAGCAGGCGGCGTATGAAGTCCTTGGCCAGCTCACTTGTGTTACTGAAATACTCTTCATCAAAGTCATAGTTCACAGCCGAGATGTTGGTCAGAGTCTCCTGCTTTGTTTCCCCCAAAAATGGAGATGCTCCACTCAGCCTAAAAGAAATAAAAAGTGACATCATTGTATTTTAACATGTAGTAATGTGTAGGTTATTTTAGCATTTTCTACTGGACAAAAACATTAGGTATGTACATTAGGTACCTAACCCATTCAGCACTGTTCACTGACACAGTATTTCACAAGAGATAATATATGCGCCTATACAAGCCCATACACCTCTTGGTATTTGCTGTAAAGGGGCTTTGAGAGACTGGTGACCATCTACCCCATAAAATGAATGTTTTTAGATTCACATTCAAGGTTAGTCTCACTTATGGACAGTTTCTAAACTTCTGTCATGACTGAAGGTGAAATTAACACTAAACTTCAATTATATTTTGAAACTTACAAAATGTATGTGATCACCCCAATGCTCCTGTAAAAGGAAGAAAACCAAAATGAATAGAAATAGCCACAGACAAGCACAAACGTAGACACTAAACACAGTACAGATGTCTCACCACATGTCGGCCTCCAATCCCAGCGGCTCATAGTTCACTATTTCTGGAGCTGCAAAGAACAAAGGAATGAGACATTTTAATTTGAACCAGATGCAGAAGACCCGAGTGGAGTTTTTGGTTTCTAACCAAGATGCTGAGAACATGAGGTAAAAAATACCAAAAAAAAGATCTTACCGACAAACTCTGGTGTCCCAAAAATGTTCTTGAACTCATTGCCAGCTTTGATCTGATGAGCAATTCCAAAGTCGATGAGTTTGATTCTGGGATTAGGGACATTTTTATCCAACAGCATAATGTTTTCAGGCTGTAAAGAGAATATTAAAGAGATACACAAGGTAAAAAGTTATTATAATAGTTACAATACTGAACATACGAATATTAAACAAATAAAAACAATAGCAAGACAGTGCTCTCTAAATTACACATCTTTTGAGAACTTGTCAGTAAATTCATACAAGTGAAAAAAACAGGCTTTAGTAGCGATCTCTTAAATTTGTTTTAAGTTAAGCTCTTTGCCCACCTTGAGGTCAAAGTGCGCGATGCGTTTGGAGTGCAGATAGTGAACTCCATCTAGGATCTGTTTGAGAAACCCAGTGGCCTCCTCCTCCGTCAGTGACTCTTTCTCAGCCAAAAAGTCAAAGAGCTCCCCACCGGACACCAGCTCCAGGATCAGGATCACGTCTGTTTTGTTTTCAAAGATGTCGTGTAGCGTGATAATGTTGCTGTGCTGAATCTCACGGAGGATATTGACTTCCCGTTCGATCTCCTCACGGCTCACTCCTCTCCGACTGGATGAGAGGCGGCGTTTTTTGATGAACTTAGCAGCGTACTCGTTTCCTGAGCTCTTCTCCTTGCACTTACGGACAATGGCAAACTGTCCACTGCAAAAATTAAAGAGAAAACTAAAGTTAATCTAAGTTGTACTATCTTCTGTCAGTGAGTAAGAAGTGTCTTACTCATGGGTATAAAAACAAATAATGATTAATAGTGTGATCAAACAGACAACCTTTCTCTTAGTGACAGAACAACAATCCAAACTAAACCACTGCAGTGTAGGTGCAGTAAGTAAGTAAGCAGTAAGTAAGTAACAAAATTACATTATCAACTGATTATTATAAAATAGTTGTATGCAGGGATTTAAATACAAAAGAGTAGACCTCTCTTATTCTGAGGCTCTGAGCCACAGAAGAGGTGGATGGGCACATGAGGGGGCTGTGATGTCACAGTTTTGCTGCATTACTGCAGACAAAAACACCTTGGGACGGAGTCAAGTTTTCACCTCTACTACAGTACAAACAAGTGCATGAGATAAATGCATAGAAACACACACAGATACTATTTGTTTGATAATGTGCCCAAAACAAAGTCATAATAAAATCAAACTGCAGTTTGTTGAGGACGATGTTGGGGCATGTTTTTGCCAACAGAATATATCTTGAGATCTAGTGAAATAGAAAAAGAATAGCCATTTTTCCACTGATACTATGATACTAATGTCATTAATCATACTAAACTTATTTTTACTACAGAAACTATAATGACATACTATAGTTTACCTGGGAATTATATATTAGTTATTAAGTGCTGTGGCAATAGCGACATTGTAAACATTAATGACAATTCTGTATCAGCTGTTGTATTAAGCGCATTTTAAAGGTAAATTAATTCAAAACATACCTGCCCAGCTCTTCTCCCATGTCATAGTACTGTTCCACATCCTCCTGTCTGAAGCCATCCATGGTTGGTGAAATCACTGGTGGGAGTACTAGGTTTTACTGTAATAAGGTGTAGAAGAAGCAAAAAGACAGCAAATGTGAGTAAAATAAAGTATAAGTCATTAAAGTGTTACATATCAGCTCATAGTACAAGTCTAGTGAGAAGTGCTCCTTATTTGGCCAGTGCAAAGTGAGCGTGGTTTTCACAGAGTTTAGACTGATGTCAGAGCTCCGCATACCAGCCCAACTACATCATCGCTTCCTCTAACCAGCCATCTCTCCCCAATTAAAGGTCTAGCATAGAGTTTAGCCACCCGGCAACACAAAGAGCATTTAACACAACAAATATTTGACTATAAAAGTGATTTTTTTTTTTCACAGATCATGACTTTTAAATAGGTTGATGTCAGTATTTGAGGAGTAAAACTTATTTATCCTACCACACAAACGCATGTACTAGAAAGCGACAACAAACTATGAGTTTAGTTAACAAAATCAACTGGAAATAATCGATATATAGAGACAAAACATCACAAAATATAATTGAAGGTTAAAATTGATGGAAACAAGCGGCTGCTAGCTTAGCTTTCTGACAACAGCTGAGCTAACGTGAACAAAAGCATTACAGTAGATGCTAGTTTCTAAAAATGATGTGCAAGTGTAATAAATACCTAATCGCAAACTTTAAATCAAATATATGTTTTAAAAAGAGAGATATGATGGGAGAAACTTACATTGCGGCTGGATACCGCTGCTGCATTCCTGTATGAGGGATCGTGTATGTGTATTTCACAAACTGTAATCAAGTTATTATTTGTGTAATAAACTATTTCCGGTATAGCTTGACATTTTAGACGTTTTAATGTAATCAAATGACCGACTAAATCAATATAATTTCGGTATATAAAGTAAAAAAAAAAAAGAAATGTATAGCGCTATTTCACTTTAAATACATGCTTGGTGATTTGATAAAGGCTTTTCACCATAATAATTTTATTTTGAAATACATTCTTTGTCTATTTCCGGTGCCTCGGGGTTACTTGACTCAGGTAAATGTGCAGAAGGACAGACATATGGGCTGAGCTCACACTGAGTGATTCAAGCCGCTGTATTACGTCAATGATAACAAGATGCAACATGCTGTGCACACAGATTATATTGTCTGCTATCAACAAGGCCCAGGTAACACCAAAACACAAGTCTGAGCCTAGGGTATGAACTCACTGAAGCGAGACTGCGTAATCAAATCAAAAGATGAATGAAAACAATGGTGTTCATTCAAGTTTTGACAAATCCATTACGCATTGAATTGCACAAGCCTATTACATATGATGGCTTTTTTTAGCCACACACTATTCCTAAACACAAGCATTTGGATTTCATAACTTTACTGCTAGTATTTCCCGCTAACGTTCCATTGTGCTGAGCCTTATCATGTCATTTAATTGGCATTAGGTACGGAAGCCTAAAAGCTTCTTTCCCTGACCGGGAATCGAACCCGGGCCGCGGCGGTGAGAGCGCCGAATCCTAACCACTAGACCACCAGGGAGCGCTACAACGTGACACGGTGAAGCAATGGCTCTACTCCAAGCAAAAAGCAGCCACCAACGCTACTGTTTTTGACATTAGAGTGACCATACTAGTTGTGTTTCCATTACTCTTTAGAATTAATCATTTGATGGAACCTGGACCAAGGAAGTATTAAAAAAAGTACTCACTTAAGATGTAGTAATGCTAAACTTACAGTAGAGTAGAGAAGGACCAAGTAGGGCGGGTGGAAACAGGCCTTAATTTTAAGATCAAGTTGGATCATCAAGTGGATTTATACCTGGGTTGGGTCCACACAGCTGCAAAGTGTAATCTATCAACAAAATTCTTGTTACAGCCTGCTATATGATTATGTAGGCCTTCTACTGTATGCACTAGTAGATGTCTCTGTTCTAGTCCCGGGCCTCCAACCTTTTTCCTCTGGTGAGATGCCTTTACAAAACTGAAACGCCAGAGAAAACTGAGTAAATATAGTAGCCACGCCCAAACTTTGATGTGGAAGTTAGATGCATATGAAACAGATATTATCATTATCCATTCATTAGTGCACATAGAAGGCATCAAAATTGTACTTTTCAACACATGTTATTCATTCAGCCCAATACGTCAGAATCAGAAGTCCTTTGGCGAGCTACAGGTTGGAGTATCCGAGTCTGGTTTAGTCACAATCACACGCAGAAAACTGACTTTATTGACCATAAATATGTTCCCTGACCGGGAATCGAACCCGGGCCGCGGCGGTGAGAGCGCCGAATCCTAACCACTAGACCACCAGGGAGCGCTGTCTGCTGCGTAAATGGACCTGTCTACATTAAACTGGGGTCTACACTCAATATAACCTGTGTTTTTTGGGCATATGATGCAGTTTTACCAATAAATATGGGATCCTTTCATTCCCCCGCCTAAGCGAGATACAAGCAAACAGATGGTTTTCTCTGTCATTAAAACAAAATGTACTTTCTTTGACTGACATTTACCCAACCAATCAGAGGCGAATACCTGGTCGCGTTCCTCCTTAACAGCCAATCACAGCCGTGGTGGAGCGGGAGGGCGGGTCCGCGGAAACAGCTGGTGGGACTCCGCGCAGAGAGCCGAGGTCGATGGGGGAAACAACAACAAGCTAGGCATCATGAGGCTTCCTAAAACACTGCTATGGGCGGCGTTTCTCATCCAAAAGGTGAGACAAACCGCATTCTTCCCGCTGAAGCTCACACATCTCCGGATTTAACTTGTAGGACGGAACATGTTGAGTGGAAAATAGTTTTGCCGGGCAGAGACGGGGAGAGTTAGCTTGGGCACTGCTACAACTGCATTAGCTTGCGGGTTTATCACTGGCCCAGCAAACTTCCACTCACATCCAGCGGGACCAGGCGTGCACACTTTCTCTTTATTCTTTACTGTCAATTAATTATTTCCATTTGAGTGTCTAGCTAGCTGATTTATTTTAGCCTAACTTTAACGCAATTACCAAGCTATGACACCACATGTAGCCGTAGATATTAACATTAGTGGTTGTTGTATTTATGTGTTTATGTTAAATCTGTTTAAAAAAAATATTGATTATGAGTTATAGCTCAAAATTGTAGTGAGTCTATAAATAGTATTTTGTTTAAGGTGACCAGATTTTCAAAATAAAAAACTGGGACATCCCTTGTTTCTGCTGGTTGTTAATAATAAAACTGTGACAAGTAACAAGTGCATAATTAAAGGAAAATTGTTCTGCACGCGGCCCAGTCATGACTAACATGTATTAGTATAGTCATCTTGTCATTCTTTGTGTTATGGTCATTTTTAAGCAGTTTTTCTGTATTTTGCATAAACAAATGACAAAGTGTGCCTCTCTTTACTGTTGGAAGGGAACAGATTGGTCAAAAATAGGCACACCCTGGACATTTCTTGTATAAAACTGGGACAAATCACTAGTTTTGTATAAATCTGCTGGGACAGGGGACTCAAGGCTCAAAACTGGGACTGTCCTGGGGAAATAGGGATGTCTGGTCACCTTAATTTTGTTGTTTTGCTCTTCTCCTAAATTATAGCCTCTACAACAAGAAGTAGCCTATTTTTTACTACAAACATTAGCTACTACTTTGGCTACTGCTGTTACTTTTAATAATATTGTCAGTATTAACACAAAGAGGTGTTCATGTGTTAAGCCCCATGACTGTATTTAATAGCTAAAAGACTTGACATCAAAATAAAATTACGTCATCATTATATAAACTATGGTTATTATTAATTCAACTCTAGTTCATGTGCATATATGGAGAAAGTAATTAAAATGGTAGCACTGTACAAACACCATGATATCTATAATCTTGAGCTGCTTTAGTCCGGTAAGATAACAAGAGCTATTTGCTATTTTAGAACGCATTGATTTTCTTGCTCAGATGGTTCTCTGTCATGAACATTATCTAAACTGTCTAAATCAATTCCTATACAACTTTGTACCATGGCTTGACGTTGTGTGCTGTACATTATTGTGACTTGCATCTGTTTGTTGTTCTCAGGTGGTTGCAGAATATGGCATGGCTCACTTCAGTGACAAGGACAAAAGCAAAGGGAAAGATTATTGCATTTTCTTTAACTCGCAGTGGGCTCGGCTTCCTCAGGACCTCAAAAAAGCTGTAAGTTAAAATCACATTAAAATTTCAAAAGATGGCAGTGACACATTCCATGACATTCCACTGTTATAATATTTGAGAATATTTCAATTGACAAAACTTATAGTAGCAAAATAGAGAATGTAAGAGAGATGTTGAATTATGGTGTGTTTTGAATAGCTGAGACTTGACACGAGTGTATTGTATTTCCCTTCTTAGGCAATGGCTCAAAGCATCAACAATAAGAATCTTGTTATCATATTTTTAACAAGCATACCTCTGATATTTTGGATAATATTTGTAAAATATATAACGTCATATTATATAAATAATAATTACACCAATATGTTTCAGTCCCATCTCCAGATCTATGACTTGACGAGCTCCGTGCTGTGCTCTGCGTCGGAAGTGCCGGAGGGGGGCTTCCCAAATCGCATCCCCATGGTGCTGAGGGGAAACTGCACCTTCTACGAAAAGGTCAGACTGGCCCAGATCAATGGAGCCAAGGGTCTGCTCATCGTCAGCAAAGACAGACTGGTAATCTTACAATGAACTCCCCTGACACTGGGATAAACCGTTAGTAATTATAAAGGGAAAATTAATTATGGTTTGTGTTTGTTGTTTACAGACGCCACCAGCAGGAAACAAAACTCAATATGAAGAGATTGACATCCCTGTTGCACTGCTCAGTTATGCAGATATGCTGGATATAAGCAGAGTAAGTATTGATCAGACGTAACTTTATGACCACTGACAAATTAGAGATTAGTTCATTGTGGTACCTATTACAGAATGTTGTAGAAGTGCAGTTTGATAGACCAGGTTAATGATTATAGCGATATGAGTATAACATCTCCGTAACTACAGCTCTTGTGAGAATAGGGAAAGCTTTTATTTTTATTTTGACAGTGTCTGTGTTCAATTATTATCTGATTTCTGGACTTTAACAATTATTGAAATGATATGCAAATAGAAAAATATAAAGAGAGTAAACTTGGGCACCATGACCAGAAAGAAACCTGATGATGTTGCTGTGTTTGTGTCATTTTATTAGTCTAATAACTCAAAAAATTTGATAATCTGATTTTGAGTGTGTGTGTGTAACCACAGCCAATGGAAAGTTCTTGGTCTATGGTGGTTAGTATCTCTCAAAAGTGGTCCAGGAAAAGAAGAGAACAGAAACGTGGTGACCCAGGGACAGGGGATGCATGAGGGGGTGGGGAGGAGTGAAGTTCAGCCTATTATGGAGCTCAGATTGCAAAAGCTAATCTGCTGCATTGGAAAGGAGTCAGAATACACAATGCACATTAGCAATACAGAAGCATATTAGCCCCGTAGTGACTGTTTAAGTAATGTTTTCCCTGATGGATATGTTTTGCTTATTTTATTTTCTGTAAAGCACTTGAAATTACTTTGTGTACAAATTGTGCTACAAAACATACTTGTAGAGGTTTTTGTTTCATTCACACATGTTGAGTAATGAAGCAAATTTATGTACGTTCACATCAAAATTGGGACTAAAGTATTATTTAGCCTGGATGAAACCAAACCAAGTCTAAATCTGGACTAAACTGGGCTCAAACCAGAACAGTGCTCCCTCTTGAGAACTAAAATGAAGCCAGTGTTGTTGTTTATTTTTTTTATTTCAGAGTTTTGGTAAAGGGCAGCTGGTGGCCATGTATGCCCCCAATGAGCCTGTGCTGGACTACAACATGGTCATTATCTTTTTAATGGCCGTTGGGACAGTGGCTATCGGAGGATACTGGGCTGGGAGCAGAGACAACAAAAAGTAAGAATATGCAACCAATGGGCAAGCTGGCTACACCTTTTATTTAACACATTTCAAATCTTGGACTAGTACTCTTAAAACACAATGTTACACACGTGACCAGAACCTCTTAGCCCTAAGTACGATGCAGTTACATGTTAGTGACTTACATCGTGCATAATGGGGTAATATCAATTAATCAAACGTAATGTAAAATAATGTGTGACCATTTTATTTCAACAAAAATGGTAATATCTAATTATACTATGATATCAAAGCTAATTTCTATAAACTATAGAAAGACTAAAATGTTTTTTCACTGGAAGATCATTTGCTTTCTGTATTCTTTCTATGCTCTTTAAAGTCACAAGATTGCTAAAGATTAAATTAGGTTTTGTCCCCAGTTCTCTCACTTTTTCCACATCTGTTTTCTCCCTTCCTTTTGTTTACAAACTAGTTCTTGTTTTCTTAGTAAAAAAAAAAAAAGTTGTATCTCAGGGGAGGATGAATCATAAAGTTCTGATGTAAGATTCAGAGTGTTGAATCTTTATAACCCTGTAAAGCTCGGTCGTGTTTGTTGGACTGAATCACGGTCAAATCCCTCCCAAAGGTGACAGAGCTCTTTGACTCAGGCTTGGGCATTCACTGCATATTTGTGGCTTTTGAAAGGAAAAACTCTCCATCCAGCTCATGGTGCAAAACAGAAACTACACATTACTATTTGTACATATCGTATTCCAGAAATGTTGTAACACAGTACAGTCATGTTAACAGTGTACTTTACTGTCTAAAAACAAGAATAACAATAAATTGGGATTGCACATGTTTACTGGAAAATATGTGATAAAATAGTTTAAAGATGACTCTGGTGAAGGTTCTGCCACCTGCTTGTCTCCATGGAGATGTTATTGTTTTGCCTAGATTAAAATATTTATGAAAGTTATGCAAGCCATGTTTACTTAACTTAGGATATAGCCAGTAGAGCATGGAAAACACTGCATTTCATTGAGGATAAGCATCAGAATGTACTATATGATTATACTATTGTTTTTATGTTATAGTCTTGTTCAATGTCCACAGGCGTTACATGAAGCACAAGCGAGACGACAGCGCAGAGAAACAGGCGGAGGATATGGTGGACGTCACTCCCATCATGATCTGTGTGTTTGTGGTCATGTGCTGCAGCATGCTGGTGCTACTCTACTTCTACTATGACTACCTCGGTACTACTACACACTGCTACTACTGTAGATTTACATATTGAACATATATTTGAATGAACTTTCTTGATCTGTCTCAGCATTTTGGGTGATCGCCATCTTCTGCCTGGCCTCATCTGTGGGGCTCTACAGCTGCCTCTGGCCCTTCATACGCAGACTGCCTTTCTGTAAATGCAGGTATGTTTCTTAATCCTTTGTATTTGGTTAATGTTAAATCATCTTATATTAAAAAAAAAAAAAAAATACTGTAATTATGAGACAAAACCTACTTAATTGTGCTGTACTGTGTGACTTTAAAGATGCACTTTGTAACCTTTCTGGTGAGGGATCTGCCACCTGCTTGTCTATATGGAGATGTTTTTGCTTTGCCTGGAGACAAGTGGGCGATATACCCTCTCCCTAAGCTTTAGTTAACACTGGCCTCTGTGTGAGTGAATCGTTTGTGTCCTGTTGTCTTCAGAATCCCAGAGAATAACCTTCCGTACCTGCACAAGCGTCCTCAGGTTCGCATGTTGCTGCTGTCGGCCTTCTGCGTCGGCGTCAGCATCACCTGGATGGTGTTCCGCAATGAGGACCAGTGAGTCAGTGATACAGGACTTTATAACATGATGGAGACTGGCAAAAGTGATATGAAGTAGTAGTTTTTACAGCGGGGTAGTAATGATAAGTAGCAATAATTGGGAAAACATTTTAAAACACATAAATTTTTCATAATTGTAATAGTTGAAGTGACTTTGCCTCTTTTTTCAGGTGGGCGTGGGTGTTACAGGACGCACTGGGCATCACCTTCTGTCTGTACATGCTCAAAACAGTCAGACTGTCCACATTTAAGGTAGTATTACATGTTTTACATTGTTACGTGTGATGTCACTTCCAGGACTGTGGTCCAATTGAAAATGATGGACCATTTTTTACCCAGAAGTGACATCATCACTTAACATAGTACATCGTATTTTTCACATAACTTGATTTGATTAACTTATATATATATATATTGTGTATTTTCCTCCAGGCCTGCACTATACTGCTGTCAGTCCTGTTTGTCTATGATGTGTTCTTTGTTTTTATCACACCGTTCTTCACAAAGGTACATTTTCATTTAAAATTAAAGGTGCACTATGTAAATTCTCTGCGGGGTGCATTCAAACCTGCTGTTTTTGCGCTACTGGAATGTTCCACAGTCATAAAACCTTTCTATCCTGTATTTATTCAACCATGCATTCCTACTGTGAATGTCCACATCTCCACAGATCTGACCTGTCACTTGGCCGGGTGGCCTTACTTGCTTGTCTCCATGGAGATTTATACTTTGGAACATTCCAGGCAAAGCAATATTCTCTCCATGGAGTTGAGCAGGTGGCAGCCCACGGGCATCCTCAGTTAACAGCTGTATTTTTAGAGTCTGTTTTCTTACATTGTGTTGCCCTTTTGTTCAGAGTGGTGAGAGCATCATGGTGGAGGTAGCAGCTGGTCCCTCAGACTCGTTCACACATGAAAAGGTTAGGCTCTGTTTTTCTCAGTTATAAAACACACATAAAATACAGATACACATATAAACTTATATGTGTGTGTGTTCCAGTTACCCATGGTGCTCAAAGTGCCCAGACTAAACTCCTCCCCTTTAGCGCTGTGCGATCGGCCCTTCTCTCTGCTGGGCTTTGGGGACATCTTAGTACCAGGTAATACTATATTTATTTTTACCTTTGAGGAAATAATATGCACAGTCACTTTCAGGAAGTTAGCGTTTATGATGCACATTATAATCTCATTTAGAAATTATAACTATTCTGATTTACTGTAGAATTATAAGGAATAGTGTTGTCGCGATGCAACAATTTCAAAGTCCATTTCTATACTAAGGAATTGACTCAATATTTTATTTCAGTACTAGAATGAAGATAAAAATGCTCCTGTTTTAGTAATAGAATCACTCTGATAATATTTTTTACAGTATTGATACCTGCTCAAATAACTATCTAGTTTTGATATTAGTTTTAGTATCAATTAGTATCTGATTTTCAATATTTTTGACAACCCTAATAAGGAATAATAAATACAAACTTCATCCAATTTAGTTCACCATAAAAAAGAAGAAACTGTCTCCGCTGTCTCTAATAATACTGTACAAATTTAGCAGCAATAACACGAGCGTCTGTCACTATTAGTGTCATGTGCTGGTACATGGACTAAACACGGTGCACTCTGTGTCGTTCCAGGTTTATTAGTGGCGTACTGCCACAGGTTTGACATCTTAATGCAAACCTCCAGGATTTACTTTGTGGCCTGCACCATTGGTGAGTTAATCCCCATTCTCTATAATGTAAATGTATAATTTTGTGCTTGATTAAATTACCACACACCAGGTTTAGGTGCCGACACTTGAGCCCCGGAGCTAAAAGAAAATACATTAGAAAACCAGCAGTAGGCCTGTTCATTTAAATTCAATTCATAATCATTCATAAATTACATTTTATAAAACTAGTCACATACAAGAGCAATATCCATCTGCTTAACTGTTAATTCATTTTATTACCAGGGTATCAACAACTGTGTATAATAGTAAAATGCTGATTGATAGGTTCACCTTTACACCTATACTCAATATTCAATAACAAAGAGAAGACAAGAGATTAATATCTTTTACACGCGTGGAGGGAGTACCGAGAGAAGAGCTTTAGTTACATGTAACTTGCCGTTCAACCAATACTCTCTAAAGTCTCCTCTCGTTTCTCCACGCCTTTTATTCAGTATTAGGAGCCCTAGTTACATGGGAACTACTCATCTCAGAACGGGAGGGGGAACATGCAAAACATTACCAAATGAGTAGTTCATTTTTTGCTTACAGGAAACACAAAAATAACACTTCAGTACAGTGTATTCAGGCCAGAGTTAAGGTCAGTCTGCCCTTCCTCATTTCATCCTCCTTAGTTTATCCTCCTTAAGCAATGGTCGCCCAAGATGTTTCCTGTTATTGAGTAGATAGGACTTTATGACCTTCTGCAACTCATAATATCTGCAATACTCAGAAACAGAATAGTTTAAGTGCACATATTAATACATTGATTATAATAAGATTAAGTAAACAAAAGTGAATATTACATTACCATTACATACACAGTGAGATTAATATAAATGTTGAATCCATCACTGATGTTACAATTGAAAGACAAGGTAAGGCAAATTAGCTTAGAGTGCTCTACAGAAATATTTTAAAATCATAATGCAAACAGTAAAATCATAGATAATCATAATAAAATGAATAGACAAGTACAGAATAAAAACATTTCAGTCATATGCACAGCTAAGAAACAGTTTTCAGCCTGGATTTGAACATTGTCAAAGCAGAGTCTTGTTGTCAGTAAGACGTCCAAATAACTTTTTAAAGCTTTGTTACTACAGGACACAGATGACTGAGGTATTAAACCAACCATGTTTTTATGCGTACATGTCGTAAACTGTCCTCGCCTGTGTGCCCGCAGCGTACGGCGTGGGGCTCCTGATCACCTTCGTGGCCCTGGCTCTGATGCAGATGGGACAGCCCGCTTTGCTCTACCTGGTGCCTTGTACTCTGCTCACCAGCCTCACGGTGGCGCTGTGGCGCAGAGAGCTGACCCAGTTCTGGACAGGAAATGGATTTGTGGTGAATACCAGTTTGATATGACCAACTACTCCTTCTATGGATGAACAAAAACACAAGAAACCAAAACAATCTTAGTATAAATAGTTGAGTAAAATCTTTTGAATATTACGTTGCATCTGGTTCTCTCTGTGCTCTGTCCTGGGTCTAGTGTGGGTGTGCTTTAGTGTCCTCTACTCTTAATGTTTATATAGACTGGTATTTACCTTTGATCACAACTTCGTAAAAAGGCTCTCAACTGTGAGTATATAATTCATATTCTTAGTGGTCACATTATTAGATATCGCTGGACTCCAAATTACTTAAAGAGGGGGTATTATGCAGACTCTTTTATTTATTCTACCATGTTATAACATTGTTCCCTCATGAAAAACATGCCTGAAGAGCTTTTAGATGTCATCCATGCACATTTACAGTATTTTGTTGTCCTGGGCTCTATTCAAACCGCTGTAAGATTTTGTTCAATGCTCAGCTCACGAGCCAACGTCACCCACGCTCCCACGTATGCAAAAGTATGATACAAAACTGTACACAACTTGACAAACCTGTTGTGATGTGCAGTAGCTTCATTAGCAGGGTGCACTGTATTGCGATAGCGCTCTGAAGGGGGGGAGCGCGTACTGCAGAGAGAGGTTAAATGCATATCATACTATACCTTACTAATTTAATTTATAAAGCGCTTTAAAAACTTCACAGCTGGCCAAAGTAACGTACACAAACACAGAATAGACGAGGACAATTGCAGTACAACACAATACACAATACAAACAGAATAAAACCACTAAAATACACAGAAAACAATAAGATTCAGAGCGTAAAAAACAAAAGTGAAAGTTATAAAAGTTGTTAATACCTACTTTTTGGCAAATGTCACATTTTCAAAACAATAAAAGGCAATATGGTGAGCTACATATGTCATTTGTTAGCAGTTACTACTCCACAAAAGTAAAATAGCCCCTCTTTAACTGTCATAATTATTCAATGAGCTGTTTCATTATCCAAAAGACTTGCCACAGGGTACCTAATAATGTGGCCATGGACAGATAAGGGCGTGGATCTGTCCTTCATATTTCTCAGGTTTTGTTGGAATTAATCTTTTGCCTATTTTTACAATTTTAAAACTCCTCAAAAAAAAAAAAACTGATCTTGCCCATAGACTCCTACTGTGCAGCTCTATCTGTCCACCTCTCTTACATATGTGTCCTTTTTGTCCCTTGCAGCCTGCTGTAGCGCTCGCACCCATAAACTGTACCCAGACTGCAGAGCCCACAGCAGATACAGGGACCACCAAGCCCCAGACCCCCACAGAGGAAGTCCCAAGCCCAGATCCAGACCAGAACCAGGACTCGCACCTGTCCCCTGACCCAAAAGAGGTGCTCCCGGAGGACACAGAGGACCGCAAATCCAACTGAAGGACACTAGTCTTTTTCCTTCTCATTATCATTTTTCATATTTTGTTATCAGTAGATGGACACTCATTGATCATTGGCGCAAAAGGGAAGAAATATTTTTTGAATTTGCTGGTTAAAAAGTGTTTTCAAGGTGTTAAAATAGACAAAAAGTTCAGTTAACTCAATGAGTTTCACTGTCTTATCCTCGTACTGTTCGAAAACACAAACGTTATAAGTTACTAAGCTGTTTCTAGATTCAGAATTAGGTTATATTGAACTTCAAAAAGGCAGCTGCGAATCAGTAGGTAGGAGATTTTTGGCAAATAATTATTGGTAGTTAATAATTACCCAAAGCAAAGGTTGGAATAAAGAAATCTTAAGACTTTTTAAGGGATAGTTTGATACCTTGAAAATTGGTCTTCTACCTCAACATTAAGTTATTTCTACGTAGAGCGCAATCAGTTTTCTCAAAATTAACATCTCAATTTTTATCAACATCATAAGCAAAATGAAAACAAACCTTAATCTGATAATATTTAAACTTTATATACTTGTACCGCATTTTGAAAAACAATCTAAAACACTATCCCTGCAATACAGCCATACAATTTTTAAACAAAATGACTACAATTCTCAAAAGAACACTAAAAATCTACCAGTTTTTGCCCATTTATCTGTCTTCACGACTCTGCACTATGACTTTGACTGAAATGGTGCTTTAACACTGAGCCAAAATTAGTTCAAGCTTATTACGATGATGTCTTTCTTTAATAATTTTTGCATGTTATGTTTTTGAGTTTACCCCAGTTTTTTAAGCAGTATAATCTATGGAGAAGGATTGTTGGCCTTTTGGTTCCTTGTTGCAATGCCCTCTGCTAATAATGCCATCCTTGATCACATGTGGAGATGTTAAAATGCAGATTTCTTTGTGAATTTACTTTTTAGATATTTGGATAATCAATACGGAAATCTGAGAATCGGGAAACCACTAATTATAAGTTCAGTCTCTTGGTTCTGTGTATTTTAGTGGAAGCCAACATACACATCAAGCTGTATTGGTGTTGAACATCAATAATTTGGATAATTTTTGTTCAATTCTAACACAAGTTCACTAAAACATTTTGAAATAATTGAAATTTTGGAAGAAAAAGGCTACCCAGATGCATTTTTAAAGCTATCATTTAATCATTTATGTGTTTATAATGGTGTTTTTCCTCAGATTTATACCAATATCTTCAGATAAAGGATCAACATCTTTAAATCTGTCATTTTTATAATTTGAGATTATAATTATAAAATGATGCCAGTTTTAGCAGAGGGCACGGAGCACATTGTCTTAATAGGTTTGGGCCTTAATTGTACAAAATGGAGGTTGAAAGTTGAGTGCTGTATTTCTATTTGCTGCATTTGTGTGAAGCAAGAACTGATGAAACCAATGTTAGACTAGTTTAAAACATCTGCACAAGATTTTTCAATGGACGAACTGAATTACTCAGTACTAAAAGTTATTGTTTAATTTTTTTTGTGCGTTTTGACGGCAGCCAGCAGAAACACAAGCCATGAACATAAGGAACATGTTTTGTTTTTTTTCTTCATCAGTTTGTTATCACCAAGTGTTTTTTAATGCTTCTGTTAAAGAAGTATGTATTATATTACAATAAAGGAACATTGTATTTAAGAGTATGGATTTTTTTATTTTTATTTTTTACATATTTTCACATGCATGCATTCTGTCCATCTGTGAAAAAAGTTGGTTTGTTTACTTATTAATAAAACTAAATAATTTTAATATCTACATCTTTGCAGCAAAAGAAAAGTTAAATAAGAAATATATTTTGATGCAATTCACAATGTATAGAGTCACTCAAGTATAGTGTACATCTTTTGATTACACAAAGTGGATTCTTGTGCGTTTAGCGTGTTACAGTGTTATCTCATCAACTCAACAGAATTGTGTTAAGTTTGATTCACACACGTTTGAGTATCCCTTTATTTTTATTTATCTACATCTCCAAAGCTCAAAAGTCTGTTTCACCTTGTTATGTCATGAAGCGGTAGTTTTCAAGTTGCCAGCCGTAAGCCAGGGCTGAAATTGTCCAAATGATTCTAGTGAAGTTAAGTGGAGTTTAAAAACACAGTGGAGCACTTCAGTTTTCGGTTTGGAGAAGAACTCAGCCTAAATGCAGGATTTGTGTTAAACATGTGCATAAAACAAAACACAACTCTGGTCATGTTTTTGATTAAATAAGTATTACAGCAATGTAATAAAAAAAAAATGCACGATACATACTGGTGAATACATACTGTAAGGCAAACATGTGGAACATTCTATGCAAAAAATATGAAATCTCCATGGAGACGAGCGGGTTCCTTGATGCACCTTTAATGGTACAGCTGTGAATGAGACTCTCAATAAGTCAGAAAATTGACTAGTTTAATTTGTGGGTTGTATAGCTGCATCAAATCACAAATTACACCACAGGCCACAAGGGGTCAGTAAAGGAGCAAACTACTTTTTCAAATAAAATAAACAAGGCTTAAACGCTTCTGTTTTACTGTATCTAAAAATACAGAGTATAAAATTATCTGGAAACATATTTTAAAAACTATACCCCAACAGCAGCAGTACTTACTGTTATTACCATTACATTAGAAAATAATACAGGTATTAAGTCCTCCACTGGACTTTTTTTTAAATAGAAGACATGATTTCTAACCATCTGCCCTAAAAGGAAATTATAACAATATATTTACAACTTTTGTACAATCAAACTATCATTGCATCAGTAGTGAATCTTTTCATTGACACAAAAGTACAAGCAAAACATTGGTCCCTTTACAATCTTTAAAATAACAGTTAACAATTAAAATCTATATTATATAACAAAATCATTCGACCTCTTTACATTTTTGTTTAACCTACGATAAAAACAAAAATCGGTAATTCTTTATATTAACTACACTTAATTAGCCTTAATAAAGCATGAAAAAGGCTTAATTCATAATGAACAAATAGAGTAATTAATAAGCCTGAATCATTCTTAATACACTAAGTCTTTGTTCATGCTTTACTGGGGCTAATTAATGTCTAGTTATTATTAGGTGATACCCTAAAATGTTCTGTAAAGGCGTGCATTGCTTCTGAATATTATAAAACACAAAACAGGGGTACTGCACTGGTTATGAAAATGCACTAAAATGTCTTTGAAAAAAAAACAAAAAAACTATGTTTTAGAGCTACATCTAGTCCATTAAGGTGCAGAATTTTAACTATTTGTTCTTCTTAATGAAAATATTAAGAACTAGCTCCATGACGTAGTGGGCAGGGTGTGTCCGATCAGAGGAAGATCTCTTTGGGGTGCAGAGGGTCCAGGATTTCCTTGGGGAAAGGGGGAGGAACAGGAGGCGGGTCATCACTGCTGCCCCGCCTCTGAGAGCTCGTGGAGGTGGGCGGTTTCATGTTCAGGGAGGGTCCAGGTGGAGTGAACAGGTCTGAGGAGAAAACAGGCAGATTACTGAGGAGGTTCCGTATTAAGACGCACGTAGTAACTTTTTCGGGCCTAAGTCTGGCATGTTCCCTAGCATGGCTTTAAAATGTATTTATCTCCTGTACTAGTACACATAAACTGTATAGAGAGGTGACTCCACTTACAGTAAGAATGTATTTTACTTAAAATATCTGTGAGCAATAAAAACATCAGTAATGAAATGCCAGACAAAATTTTAATGCCACATTTATGGTACACTGCAAGCAAAGGAACAACATCTTCATGGAAAGAAGCAGATGGTGGACCTTCTACTAAAAAATGACCACTACCCTTATGCATTTACTGCTCTAAGTAGGATGTCAGAAACAGAGAATACAAGTAAAATGACCAGAAGCCCCTATTTACCTGGGGCAGTCCCAGTTTTGAGCCCTGTGTCCCCTGTCTCAGCAGTTTATCAGCAGTTTTATACAAAAAATGTCTAAGGGATCCCTAATTTTGACCAATTTGATCCCTTCCATTTATGCCTCTCAGTAAAGAGAGGCATAAATTGTCACTTGTTTAGGTAAAATACAGAAAAGTTGCTTAAAAATTACCAAAACACAAAGAAAGAGAAAATGTGACTATACTGTAGGTCATGAATGGGCTGAGTGCAGAACAGTTTTCCTTAATTACGCACTTGTTTCACAATTTTATTATTACCAACCAACCCAAACCGGGGGTGTCCCAGTTTTTGATTTTGAAAATGTGGTCACCATTTATACTAGTGTACTGCGCAACAATGAAATGAGTAGATTTAAATTAGGAGTGGGGCACTGGCAATGTTGTACAAAATAACTAAATAAATAAAACAAACAAACAACTAGAGAATCATAGAGTGCATCTATGTGATTTAGACAAGACTGGTACCAGTGTTCTGGTGTATTCTCTGGGGGCTGGACGTCCTCTGGGATCTCAGGCTCCCTCCCTCTTTCCCGGTCACTCGAATCGGCACCACCTCTCGCACGTCGATGTTTGCTGTGGGTAAAGAGCGACAACAGTTAAAAATAATAAAAATAATAATACTAATTGAAACAAGAAACACAAGTCAAATCTTTCAAAAGGCCTGGTGTAGATAGAGACATGATGTTCAAAAACAAGACATGTTATTACTTTCTTGGCAACAAAACTCTTTAATAATCCATCAACAATTTAATATTAAAGGTAACGCAATTAAATTTTAATATTAATATTCTGCCACATTTAAGATTACAAAAAATCCCTAATTACATAAATAATAATTTAACATGTTGCCTTCTTTTCATTCATCAATAAAACAACTCAACTCAAGCTCATGTTTGCATTAACTCTGTTAACCATACGATAACCATGAGCTCCTTTAGCAGAGGAAGCTCAGGAGGTTCCTTATTTTAACAGAACTATTTTCCTATCCAGCAGTAAGGAGCTATGAGGTATCCCACAATCCACTGCAGATCAAACCCAACGTTTTCAAACACTACTGTACAAGTTACACAGCAGCAGATTATTAATTAAAAATCTTCTGCATAAATAAACTTAACACTACTAAACTTTACAACATATAAAGTATAACAACTATAGAGCCACATCAGCCCCTTTGAGATTATAATGTGTTTAATGCAGTTTTGTGCATGTGTTTACATTTACAGAAATGAAACTTAAAACCGCATGGCTCATTTGCATAAATGTGCTCCTTATGCCGCTCATGTGGTTCAGCTTCTTTCGGACTAAAGGACACAACTCAGTGGAATATGAGTGTTCTCTCTGTGACAGAGGATGTGCTGCTGATGGCCTTTTCTGTAAATGGTGGAAAAGGTTTGTGGTGCTAGAAGCTTTTCACTGGCACCAACTTTCAGCATTCACGGCGGTAGTGAGGAGTGAATGAGACACGAGCGAACAAAATCAGGGAGACGGTGGTGCACACAGAGAAGGCAAACAAGCGAAGCGGCAAAATCAGAATTGAATATAAGCATTATATCGATATATACGATGTCAGAATCCATATCGAGTTTAAAATATATCTCGATATTTTAAATATATTGAGATATCGCCCACCCTTAGTTATAATATTAATGATCTGACCTGCACTGTTAGTTCTCTTATGAGATGGTTTGGTCTTGACCTTCTTTTTGCTGATGCCCTCCAGTTTGGTGGGGATGACCTGCTCTATGGCGCCCCCTGGCCGCACTGCAGGGCTGGTGTCGTTGGTGGTGCTGCGTAGATGGATGGGCACGTAGGGTTTGGTGGGTTTGGGGCTGATGCTCTCTCTTCGGGGGGGAACCCTCGGAGGAACCTCTTTGGAGTCAGATTTTTGGGTCGGAACAACATATGGCGCTGCAGTGATGTTCCCCACGCTGCTGACTGTGCTTCTGATGGATGGGAAACTCAACAGACTCTGGACAAGAAGACAGAAGGTACAGAAAATTTCACCTGGTGGTCTCCATGGAGATAGATAAGTTAATGCCATACTGTGTGCACACAAGGAGATAGCAGCCCCTCCACCAGAAATGTTTTGCAGTTCATCTTTAAAGTGGGACTAAACACCTAAACTACAACCACATTTCAAACAGAGGTCAAAAAAAGAAGGAGTGTGTGTGGAGGTATAAGGAACACCTGGCTGCAATTAGGACAGTTTTTCGTGATGTCACCATCTACTTGAAATTGGAGTGCAACAGTCAATAACGCCATTAAAACACCATATACACACTTAAGGCCGCCACACACTGCAGAATTTTTTGGTCAGATTTTTAAACGTGTGACAAAACGTGCACACCCCAGACACGAGGAGAACCTTATGAGATTTTAAATCTCCGATCGCAAACCACAGGCTACAAAGGTGTGATCACACTTGTGTCATCTGTTTCCTGTCTAGAGTAAAACCATTTGCTTTGAGACTCTTAAGTGTTTAAAGATCAGAGCACTGCACTTCTATTTTAGATACAAGACAAAACTGAGTTATTTTATTTGTGAAATGTGGCGCAATATGTCAAATACACGATTTTTAAAGCATAAAAGATTGGCGATTAAGTCCACAGGAAGTTGAGTCACTATCACTAATTTCCAGCTTCACCTCTGTGCACCGTGCGGATATAAACAGAAACGTGAGGAACTACTCTTGCCTTTTTAATTTTAAAGAACGCTTCAAACTGGATTAACAGAGCTGTTTTGTGGACTGGGTGTCATTACTAGCAGAGGACACATTCTATTGATAATATGAATGAAAATACTACAGTTTACAACTTAACCAGAGGTGAGTAATCATTATTTTCACTATACTGAGTTTGTATTTTGTGCTTGTGTGTCTGTAACTCCACTTGCCCCTGACGCTCTGTTGTACTGTCTTTAACTGTATACAATATGAAAGAGCGGTGACTTCATAATCACGTACAAAGACACAAAGTCGGGTCATGCCTCCCTGAACTCGTGGAGAAGCAAATCGCAGCCAAAATCGGGCAAATTCTTCTATAGTGTGTGGCGGCCTTTAAGTAGTGAAAAAAAAAAAACTTGTGTGGACTTAATGTTAAGTTCCCCTCCCTGCTCTCACCTTTGGGTCATCCATGTTTAGTGCCGGGTTGACCATACTCATGTGCCTCTTTAATTTCTCCAGTTTCTTCTTCTCCTGCTCCGTTTTCTCCTTGTCCTTCTCCAGATTCTTGAGCGAATCTCGCAGTCTTTCCAGGTCCTGTTGGTATTCCCCCCTCTGCTTCTCCAAATCTGCCTTCTCCTCCATCAGTCTCTGCTCTCTTTGTTTACACTCCTCCTCTCTCTTCTTCACCTCCTCCTCCAGGACCTCCATCTGCACCCTCTGCTTCGCCTTCTCTTTCTCCCACCTCTGCTGCTCCTCCCGCTGCTGGGCCTGCATCTTGTGGAGGTTGGCGAGCTCCTGTTTTTGCCTCTCCATGTTGCGCTGGTTTTCTTGCTCTAACAAAGTGTTGCCTTGTCGAGACGATCGTTTGCTCTTGGACTGGCAGGCCTGAAGCATCTCCACCTGACTGCTGTGCTTTGCTAAAACCACCTGGAAACACAAGTATTTTATGAGCTTCAAATATTTCCAGAGACGGTGCAGGCACTTTACAGCTCAGTAATAGGATGGGAAACCAATCTGATATGTGTAGCATTCTTATCAGGGACGACTCTTCTGAAAGTGATCAGGAAAAGGCAAAACATCATGATGACCATTTGCATCTGTATCTGAATCTGTCACAGCTGAAGTACACTGTTAACATGTTTTGCTGCTTTGGGATTGGTCCAGTTTCTGAACTACTGGCCCCCGTGGACGTTTAAATAACGTATAATAATAAATGAGTCTTGTTTTGACCAATTACCGTATTTGTACTTTTAGTTACATCCAATTACCATGTTATTACTGTCGAGTTAAGTTAAGAGATACCGAGTCAGTGCAATGAAGTAATACATGTTTAATATAGATATCTTCACCTGTAAGCTGTTCAGTCTTTGAGCCAGCAGCACCATTCTCTGATACACCTTTGGAGAGAAAATAAACAATATACCAAACCATTTCATTAGAATAATTTCTTTTTACAGAATTTCAGGTTACATGAACTATTTTATATTTTACATTACAGATGGATGAGACACACTAATGTAACTCACCAAAAGTGTGTCTTGTTCCTGTAAAGGTTTGGGAGTTAAAGTGCAAGGTGGAGTTTTAACGTCATCTCCATCGGCCTAAAGAAAAAACAAACAAACAAATATTTAATGAATAAATAATATTAATAATATCATGTTTCTAATATGCATCTGTATTGTATAGCACTTTGACACTGACGGCGTTTGATGCTAAAACCATCAATCACAGTTCAGTTTTTAGAATTCTGAAACTAGCCCCTGTATGTTTTTCCTGGAGCTGTTAGGATTAGCCCACAAAATCACAAATAATTAATAAGAGGGTTTTGGCTGGTACCAAGTCCTCGTCCACATGAACATTATGTCAAAGTCTCTCACTCACAGACAGCTCCAGACCCTCGGAGTAATCAGTTTCCTCATACTGAAGATCTGAACTGGGCTCAGCGCCAAGATCCTCAGAAACATCTCCATCTGAGTAAGACCAAAAATTTACATTAAGCTACAAGACACAACTTGACATTTGATACTGTAATAGACAGAAGAGGTGGGACAATTCCTACAGTTATGTAATCATTGTGTGAATTACTTTTACGTTTATTTCATCTCTCATGATTTCACTTTTCCTTTTTCATTTCAGTCAATCCAAGATCTTACTCAAAGGCACTGTGATGTCACTGGTCTCATCCAAACCGTCTGTTATTTCACTTTGCTTCTTTATGACCCCCAGGATCATCATGCTGTGCAGATTCTCCACTGAAACAAACAATATCCACAACTCAACTATTTATAGCAACAGGAGGCCACTGTAAATATTTAATTTCATTGTTAGTAGTTCTTCAAGTACTATCTTTGTGATCATGTTTCCTCCTTACCGTCATGGATGGCCTCCTGCAGCAGTGTCTCCCCCTGCTGGAGGTCAGAGGCGTCGCCCCACAGTAACAGTCCCTTGTGTGGACACTCCTGTCCAGTCACAGCCTCAAACAGAGACACACAGACCTGCTGCTTGGACTCTACGCTCTTTTGGATCAGGTCATCACACTCCTTCAGACTGTCTGTGTAAAAAATATAAGAGAATGAACAACTAGGAAGTCCACTGTAAATTAAACATGTCAGTTCTGTTAGTGGTTAGGTCCTTGTCAAAAGTAAGGGAGGACAGACATAAAAATGTGTTGCAATCCCAGATAAATGAACTGCTTTGGGAGAAAGTAAGGCTGGGTAAAAAAAAGTCCTCTAGTTGACCAATAAAGATTCTCAAATGATTAAAAACAAGATGCAAGATATTAAAAACTAATGGCTAATGAGAAACACTTTTAATCATTACCAATTAACACACAACAAAATAGCAAAATGTCTTTCTCCAAAGTCTGACACATGCTTTTACTGACAGAGGATTGGCTGTGGACCTCTGGATTAAAACACAAACCGACCACTGACAATTAGAAATGACTGAATCTTGATATTGCACAGCCGTAGTATAAAGGTTGACTGCATTTAAAACCTAAGTGCTCTCACATTATGGGCTTGCATGATTAATGAGGGACAATACAATAAATATAATCCATACTATTGAAATAGTTTAAAATATTTTCTTCCTTACTTTGAAATTGTTGTAGTTGTGCCATTTCTTCACTGTATGGCTCCTCCTCGTCCACAAAACTGCAAAAGCACATTTAATTTGATTCAGTACAACACCTGCATCTCTGAGGGTTTTCCAGAAAGATAACTGTTAATATCGTTGGATCACTTAACAATTACACAGTGACACTTGCAAATAGATTCTAACAGTGCAAAAGCAAAAGCCCTAAACAGTGTTCTTCTAATTGTGATCCCTGTATTGTTGGTGATATGTGGGATGCCTCTACCCTAGTCATACACAAGGTCCTCTGCAGTTTTGAGTATTTTAATTATTTAGAGACAAATCTTTTCATGTTTGTGTCTTCCTCTGGGTTAATCATTTTTAGAACTGCCATATCTGTAAATTTTAGTTTCATTTTAGGTTTAGGCTTAGCCCTATTTTAAGCCTGGTAAAGTCAGAGTTTAGATCTAGTGGTACACTGAAATCCAGCCAAGTTTGAGCATCATTGGCCGAGAAAATACTGAAATCACTCATCAATATCACTACCCTAATGCAGGGTGTAATAATAATAATAATGTTCCATATCTAGCTGTAATCTCAGACCTGTTGACAGCCTCCCTGATGCGAGTCATCCAGGAGTTGCATTCGTCCTTGGAGCTGGTGTGGATCTCGTACATGTTGGAGGTGCAGGAGCAGATCAGATACATGGCTCTGTCCTCCAGCGCCATCTCTCGCACAATCAGAGCTCTGAGCGAGATCACAGGAGGGATCTTCTCCTAAAAACAACGCGAGTCATCATAAGCTCCATTTTAACTGTGTATATTTCCACAGCTTTATTGAACCTGTGCATTTTTATAACAACAATACAGACAATTATTTTACTTTACATTGCATATTTACTAAAAGAGGGAGTATCTTTTTTCAGTGGGGTATTAACTGGGGTATCATCAAGCTTTTTTGTTGTTGTTGTTGTTGTTTTGTAAATGTTATATGCACCAAAAACAACATATTAACATGTTTTCAGAAGTTTCGCTTTTGCTTTTGATGCGCTCAGGCCCCCCTCCCTTTGCTCTCTGCACTAAGTCACCCCCCCTTCAGAACAATATCACCTTACAATTGGCATGTATCTCGCAAATTAAAGTACTGCACATCGCATCAGGTTTGTCGGGCTGTTGTGTGACACATAAATGCGTTGGGCAGAATCTTTCAGCTAACCATAAGGAGAGTTAGAGGAATAGCATCAGGGAGAGATCTCTAAATTACTGAAACATGCATGGAGGACATCTAAAACCTCTCCAATAACTATTGCATAATATCCCCTCTTCACAAGGACTCTGGTTTCAGAGTTGTGAAACGCACTTATAAACTCATTGTGGTTAATAATTAGGATACTCAGGAATGCACAAGGTAAGTGAGGAATAACTTTGAACCACTACAAACCATTTAAAACTAGAAAAGCACTCAGAGAGCGCAGACCTCCGCCAAGGACTACCCCCATTTTTTATATAAATTGCGATAAAATCAGTCTTCTGGATCAGATCCGGATCAGCCTTTGGAATATGAAAGAGGATCCCATTGTCCATCCCTGAGTCAAATTTCATGGGGTTTGGTCAATAATTAACCGAGATATTGAGAAACAAAATTTTTGGCCCCATTTACCACAATGTTAACTACAATTTCAAAGTGATCCAGAATCAAGGATTTCTTCCGGATCACCCCCAAAATGAAATCAGTTCTTCCTTTTCACATTTCCAACAAATCCTGAAAATTTCATCAAAATCGGTCCATAACTTTTTGAGTTATGTTGCTAACAGACAAACAAACAAACAACAAACGAACAGACAAACGCCGGCAAAAACATAACCTCCTTGGCGGAGGTAATGAATGAGTTCTGTTTTTGAAGACAGTAAAAATCAGGTACAGCAGCTTTAAACCATTGTATAACCAAATCTACATCCAACACTATTCAACATTTGCTGCAATCATACTACTTTTATTTGTAATTTCAGTCACTATTTTTGTATTAAACTCACCATTGTAGCAAACACAAACTTCTGATCCTTCTCTTGTAATAAGATGAGGACGTCTGACAGCAGCACGGCATGGATCTCTGCAAAAAAACAAAACAAAAACAAATTTAAACATATATTTAAAATCTTTCATATATTTTGAACTAACAGCAACAATGTATTAATTCGATAAGAAATGTGATCATCTCTTCATTTAGTGCAGGCTGTTCTGGCACCATCTGTAGCCATGCTGGTATCAGGCTTCTGTACCGTAACGCAAATGTTTGAGAGAATATTGCAGAGAAGACTGAAATATGAACTGATAAACAAATACAAGAATCTCACACATTTCAGAACTCGTTTGTAGAGGTTTAAATTACAGGTACAAAGTGTTCTATTCAAAGACAGGATGTGTTGTTCTATGCAGAGGTCATTCTATTATCTAAATAATTGCAGTATGTGATTGGATAACTCAAACTGAAATTGCAGTTTTGATTCAATTACAGTAAATCGTGCAGCCCTTCCTCCTCTAAATGACATGATTTCTCACGTATGAATCCTGCACATTTAGAAGAAAGGACCTTAGAGGTGAGAGGCAGTTTTTCTTTTCTTCCCAATTGGCTCTTTTTTGACAGCTGAGAAAACAAGGAATTGAGGAGTCAAGCAAATTACCATAAAGACACTTGTACATGCACCACATCAAATGTTGGAATAAATCGCAAATGAAACCTGGACTAAATCAGGACAATACTAGGACTAAACCCAGATTTGGAACAGAACCAAACCATATCTACATCGGGTTTAAACTGGGGTATGCACAAAGCCTGGCGTGTATCCTGTGTTTGTGTCATACCTTTCTGTCGTCCGGGGGTCTTCCACACCACGCTGCCTTCATGGAGCAGGGTGCGGTTGTTCAGGAGGAGGTCTTCTCTTTTAAAAACCCTCTCCTCAGACACCCGGCCCAGGGACTTGGGCTCCAGTCTGCCATAGATCTCCCTGAGCCTCTGCACCTGCTCGTACTCCTTCACCAGAGTGTTCACCTGCTCGATGGTGTCTTTGATCAGAGACAAGCCATGCACCAGGGACTTGTACTCATCTGTGTTCTCTGCAGAGGCAAACACAACACAATTTATGAAGAAATATACTAATAAAGCAGCTATAGCCCATTTACGTAGTTACGGTAAGCTAAGAACTACTGCCCCGAATTAACCTTTAGATCCATCCACACCACAATGCTGCCCTGTGACTATGAACTCACAAATAATGAGAGAATTGATTTTGCTGTGCAAGGTTAACAAATATCTGCTTTTACAATGTACCACACGGGGGGAAAAACATTTTATTCCACTACATCTCCCAATGTAGAGGAGCTTGTGTGTGTGTGTGAGCCTGCTAGTGACCAGTGCTGACTCACTTATTTTTCCCTGGAAAAGGTAAATAAAAGTGCAGACAGACAGACAGACAGACAGATGACTTCCTCCTCTATAAATACTTGGAGAAGGTTTGGTTTGTGCCTCGCCCAAATTACAGCTTTAGCAGCATAAAGTGTTTGTTGTGTCTGTCCCTATCAAATAAATAATAATAGTTGTATTCAGTCTCTTATGACGTCATATTACCTTCCGTGTTTTTGATGATCCTCTCTATCAAAACTGGATATTTGGTGATTCTCTGTGTCACCAACAGGAAACACTCCGGGATCCCCAGCCTTTTCACAAGAGGCAGCTGGCCGATTTTCTGCAAGAACAAAGCAGATATTAAACCAAATAGTAAATGGTATTAAAGGTGTTGTACCTTAAATCATGATTTAAAAAGTTGCACTGGTGTTTCTAAATTCAAGAAAATGTACAAGGATAAAATAATGAGGGACTATGTGACTAAAATGTTTCAAGTTAATGAAAGCACAAGTGAGATATTGTAACATATGCATATGGCTTATTGAATGGAGACTTGGTTTGTTTTTTGAGGCGGGGAACAGTTATTAGAGAAATGTTTAAGTTTTTGATATGTGAAAGGAGCACAGTTTATAAGATTTATCTACTTCCTGTTCCTTTTGTTCATGCAGCAAAGACAAGGCAAATAATGGTAGAAATATGTATTTATGTTAATTGTCAGATTTTTGTTGTTGTCTTTAAATTGATGCCAACAAAATAATAGCATGAGCAATAAAACAAAAACAAAAAAAACAAAAAAAACTAGAACTAGTTAATTTGCAGTCGTATTTCTAAGCATTATCAACAACATTCAGAAGCCAGAGCTGAGTTTTTGCTGTCATGGTAATACTAACAACCACCAGCATGCTAAATATGCTTAATAATCACACAGTATTCTCATTCTTAATTTTAATTTTAGTCCACTTGAACCCAACCAAGACATTTACAAGTACTGAATTGCAAATTGGCCTGTCACGATAACAAATTTGGAAGTACGATATATCGCTGAAAAATATAAACGATAAGCAATAATACTGAAACTAATTTATGTTACTGACACAAAAACTGCAGCAGATTTATACCACAAAAATATTCTAAATGTTCAATATTGTTAAAAAAAACATGGGCGGCAATAAATATAAACAGAATATGAAACCTATTAGTACAAGTTTGCATATGTAATGAAATCTCATCATATAAAAGCATAGAAATAACAAAACATTTCAGTACTCACCCCAAAAAATATTGTTCCAGCTTTCATATATTGAACGATAAGTAAATGTAGTAATGATCATGACAGGCTTAATTGCAAATGACATGATAATAACATAAATTTCTATTCATATTCCAACACAGCACTAATGCAGTAAGAATCAGTTTAGTAAAATGTGACTTACCCTGATGAGGTTCTGAAACTTCTTGCTGTTCTGAAGTAGTTCTTTGTAAAACTTGTTGGCTTCGCTCTGGTGACCGCAGAAGACACTGTAGCACTCTTTCATCCCCTCTCCCACTGAACCGGAAAACTACAGCAACAAAGACAAGACTCAGGTTAAACAGATGGAACTTTTCTAATGGGAATTCTGCACCTCTCCACATTTAATGCTTATTTTTCATCCTTGCACCACTGCTCTTGGACAGCAGAAATTAAAAAGGGTAATTTGAAGATATAATCTAATTGTCACAAGGGCTTTAGATGCAGAGACATATTGAATTGTATTCATTTCTTGGCTTGCTACAGTTAAGTAGGTAGTGCTGGCTCTTGATCATTTGTACAGTAGTGACATCCACCTGCAGAAGCTGATCCAACAGTAGTTCAGACATACCAAACATTCCTCTGACATCTGAACGCATCACAAATGCATCACAAACGCGAATACACAACATAACAGTGAGCTATAAAAACATCTTTGTCATGACAATCGATCTGTGACACTAGAGTCTGGTTCTAGACTTTCTGCCCTGGAGCAAAGTTGCCAACAAAATGTCAATAAGTCTTAGTTTTAGTATTGATAATCCAACCAGTCAAAACAGCTCCACATGCATGTATTCAATACATTTACCAAGCTTGAAATACACACATTTTATAGGATTATTACTAGAGATTGCTTGGATTAAGTGAAGCATAAAGCTTTTTAATTGATTGTCGATGGCCAGTGCTGTGCTGCGCTGTGCTTTGAACTGAATGGAGAGCCAATCATTTCAAATGGTCAATGATCAGCTTTGGGCCTTTTCAGTGTGAGGTCTACAGTCCTCTGTCAGCATGTACTTTAAGGTGTACTTTAAGGTTATTATTTGCACTAAAAACACTGGTTAAAAGTCTGTCTCTTTAGGTTTCTGAAACTGATTTAGAAAACAGTTTAAAAATGAGATTTAAATAACTTTATTTTTCTTGCCCTATGTGAAGCTATTGTATGGACTTCACATCACACACAGCGCTTCCTTCCTTCTGTGTAAAAACTGTACACAGCAATTTGAGCTCTAAAATAGGAAACTAAAGGACTACTTTAAAGCACATAAAAACATGGTTCAAAAGTTATAAAACACAAAATTGGTGCTGTAACATACTGTGCTTGGATAACAATGAAGTCAGCAAAAAAGCCCAAACCAAAACACATCCCAGTCATTCGAGCAGAACGTCTATCAGACGGTTACACCAGGTCACCTCCACTGCCATTAGAACAAAAACATGCACAGCCACTGCAGATGAACAAATAAACACTTGAAAGGGACACGATGTAACTTTTCAGGTGGGGCAGCAGCCGACTGCTTATCTCCAGGGAGATGTTATCGTTTTACCTGACATTACAGAAGCAGTGCTTCAATTCAGCACAAATATAAAATAAAAAAAATAAAAACTGAATTGCACATTTTATTTATTATATAAATGATGTCTGAATCTCATCCTGTTCTGGTTTATATGTAGTTTGTCTCAGCTCACCTGTGTAATAAGTATATCTCCGAGCTGAGTGATCTGGTAGTTGTTGCTCCCCTCCGGCTCCTGACTCTGTCTCTGTCTGCGTTTGAGTGCGTCCAGAAAATGCTGGTGATGAGACAGAAGAGCATCTATGGCCGGGAACAGTCTCTCCAGCCTCTGCTCATCCACCATCCCTGACTGTCTGAGCTCATACATGTACACGTACAGCAAGACCTTCAGAGTGCGTACATGGTGCATCTCAGTGTGCATCAACTCTATCGGGGGGAGACACAGAGACACAGAGAGGGAGAGAGAGAGAGGAGGTTTAGAGAATGGGTTTGCGAAAATGTTGTTGCACTGTTGCCACAGCAATTAAATATTCAACACAAAATATCTATTTTTAACAGGGAGCTGAAAGGCATAAAAAGACCGTGTTCCATGTAATGTAATAAAATGTAATTCAAGTTTTTATTGTCTGCAAACCAGTGCGCTGTTAGCATGCTAATTGTCATTAGCATTACTGTAATGACAAAACTCTGCTCTGACCTCTAATCTGAGAGTTGTGAAAAGCGCTCTTTGCAGTGAATAATTAAGATGTTTGGAATGCGTAAAGTGAGTGTGGAATAACTACAGACCACTGCAAAGTTGCCGTGAGCTGTTGTGTAGTTTGTACCGTAGATGACCTCCTGCCTCTTCACAGTCTCTTTGCTGAGCTCCTTGAGGAAGCTCTGGTCCACAGACAGACTCCAGGTCTCTGCCTCCAAGTTCAGGGCATCGCTCTCCAGCTCCAGTTGCAGCTGAGTGTAGTGAGAGTCTGAGGACAACAGCAAAGGCTTTAAACACGCAATAATGACGATATTCGTCAGACGATAAAAACTTCAGTTATCCAATACTGTAGGACCTATTTCATATTTCCCCTTAATATTTTGTTTTTTTATTTTTCTAAAGTCTGGCTAGACCGTGATAAAAATGAAGGAATTAAAGAGAATATGAGAAGTTCAGTGGATCTGTACTGGACATGCCCTGACTAATCTCAGACTTAAAACACACAAACTTGGAGAAAAGTTTTCACACTGACCCTGGTCGTTGATGAACTCAGCCGCAGAGTCCTCAGAGACAAACTTCAGGCGTCCATCGAGGTCATCCATCTCTCCAGATCTAAGACAGAAAACAGCACACACTTACTAATAAGGAATTAAAATATGTTAAATACGTTTGGATCCCTACAGGGAAACAACAGATAAAAAATAATATATATATTTTTTTTTTTAATGAAAATGAAAAATGCAATGTCTCTTCAAAATAACTGAGACCAAACACACTGTTGTACACACATGGAGGCATTCTTGTTTGAATCAAAAACTCAGAGAGTAGAGGAGGAGCACAGGCACAGACCTGGGGCGCAGGTTTGACTCCTGAGGCTTTTTTGAGGAGACCGTCATCACTGAAGCTCAGCCATCACAGACCGGAGCAGCTCTGTCCAGGGACTGTGGCAAGTCTACAAACACAAGAAGATAGTTTATAATACTAAAAGAGAAAAACGTTAGGGACAATTGGAATTACAAAATATTATTCTGAAGACACCAAGTTTTTATGCCTGTTGGGTCCAGCGTAAGGTCTATACAATGTTTACAAGCCCAAGTACATATAATTTTGAGAAAATACTTTACTTTCCTTTAGGAAATATTCTTTTATGAAATTCATCAACACATTATTATTCTGTTATTATTATGGTTCTAGATAATGGACATGCGAACACGTAGCCAAAATCAGAAGTGTTCAAATACTGGTGTTGTTAATCAGGCATCAGCTGCAGTATTTATTAGGTATGGCTGATTTTATAAAAAAAAAAAAAAAATACATGACAATGTAAAGTGTAAAAGTAAAGCCACACAAAGTGCCTTATAGATGACATTACAGGAATGGGTTAAACTCACATGATCAAATGTCTACAGCTTTGTGTGTTGTCGTCATGTAAATGTATGTGAAATTATAATGTTTTGTAAACACTCAAATTTGGTTTACAAATATAACATAATGTCATCAGTATACAGCCAAAACAAGCTGCTAAGATATGTTAACAGGAAAGTTACAGTAAAAGTATTGTTCACATGTGTAAAATAGATAAGTACCTTTTACTTGTCAACAGAAGTTTCAGTAATGTGTAGTTACTGAGTCTTTAAAAAGACTTTAAATCTGCTGAAAGAAAAACATGTTCAGTCCTCTGCCTCACGGTGGAAATTTTAAACAATGAAACTGTTTTTAGTTCTTCCCACCCTAAAGAACAGAAACTGGTTTGTCCATTACACTTGTCATTCAGCTTTGCAGTTTGTTACAAAATCCTTGTTAAAATAAATGAGGCCGTAAATGTGACAAGCCAGTACTTTGAAGTTGATGCCTTTACTTTGTTGTAAGTCACAGTAAACAAAACAAAACAAGTCCAATAAAAATACTTACCTATTTTAGACTTGAGCTGACCAGGAACACAGTCAGGTCTTCCACTGTACTTCCCCCATGACACTAAATAAAGGAAATATGATGTTAAATCATCTGTGAATATAAACAAGGAACAAACAAAGGTGGCTGACAGTCACTGCTACTGTAACAGCGGAACAACTGGGAAAAAATATGATTTACTTTAATATGATTCACTTAAAGTCCACACTTAACCAAGATTGGAGACACAAGCGATACAGCAGCTTTCATTCACTGTAACATGCTGCAGGGGTACAGCTCATTGTGACACCATGTTAAAATCATCTCCACAAACTAAAGCAGCCTCAGAACCAACAGCCCAGGTCACACTCACAGGCTGCACGATCAAGGATCCCCCAGAGACGACTGGAGGAAATACATCTCCAGCACAAGCAGTTATTAAGTTTTGGCTGTCTTGCTGTCTAAAGCGCACACACTAAGCTTTTATTTGAACACATAAATGCAAATAGATAACTGCTCAAAACGTGACCACGCTGCTTTCTTGAAGGTTTGTGGTAAAAGAGGATTATGGATAGAGTTTATCTGTAATCTGTATTAGCCATGAAAAAGATCATATTGGTCAATCTCTAGTGTGCTTTATTGAATGGGTTACAGTGGACCCTGCTAGAAGAAATGATGAGGGGTGTGGCCGATTAGACGACGATTAGGCGACAGAGATGGAGAGTCTTCCCAATGTGGGCCTGGACACTGGAGGTGGTAAAGGGAGGCCGATGAAAATGAAGGAGATGATGAGATGATGAGGAAAGTGAAGAGGACGATGAGATAATGAAGAAAGTGAAAGGGACAATAAGAGGATGAGGAAAGTGACGAGAATGATGAGAGGATGAGGAAAGTGAAGGAGACGATGAGATGATGAGGAAAGTGAAGAGGACGATGAGAGGATTAGGAAAGTGAAGAGGACGATGAGATGATGAGGAAAGTGAAGAGGACGATGAGATGATGAGGAAAGTGAAGAGGACGATGAGATGATGAGGAAAGTGAAGAGGACGATGAGATGATGAGGAAAGTGAAGAGGACGATGAGATGATGAGGAAAGTGAAGAGGATGATGAGATGATGAGAAAAGTAAAGGAGATGATGAGATGAGCCGAGGGGTTGCTTGGGAGAAGGTAGGGTGTGATGGGGGTATAAATTGGGCAGTCTGGGCTCTGACTGGAGGAGGAGGTGTGGCGAATGGCGGGCTGGTGTAATATAAGCGATGAAGGTTGAGGAGCAGGTAAACTCTGGAAAAGTGGTGAGGTAGACTGAAGCGAAGTTAGTCTTCCAGGCTTAAATTTCGCTAGTGCCCTAACAGTAAATTAACTTGTGTCTAGTAAAACATCATCACGTTTGACTTTTTGTCCAATAATAGAATATACAGTGACATCGGGTCCTACTCTTGCCTCTTCATTGACACTTAACATTCCTTTAACTGAAGTGAAACTGTGTAAACCTCATTGTTCACAGACTCTGCTCTACCTGCTCCTGTACAAATATGCATGCTGTGCGTCTTGTTTTCCCATGATCCTTCAATGTCACATTACTTCTGTGCGTGTAGTGTTTTCGCTCGGAGTGTCCCTCTTTGCGACCGAGACACGCCTCAGAGACGAAGAAAAACCAAGAAATACAGGTCACTCCTCCAGGGCAGAACTGGAGCAGCAGGTCGGGCCAGTGCGGAATCCCACACACAGAGCAGAGAGAGCAGGGCCACACTGCAACAGTCACTGCAACGCTGAGGTTTCACCTGAGATGGCACATGGACTACACTGGAGTCCTGAAATTTTCCAGTAGTCGACTAAAGACATGTCCTGACAATAGTTTAGGTGACTAAAAAAGGGGAAATGCTCTTGAAATTATTAAGCATCTTTATGTAGTGCACTCACAGAACTACTTAAAGCATATTAAGCATGTAAAGACAGATTAAATGTGTGACTCATGAGTTTAAGCTGCCTTTTTACATCTACTTCTCCTACCATTTGTTGTAAATAATATAATACAAATCCATATAAATCCTTATGATCTGTATGAAATGTTTAGCAATGTAGGACAAATTTTGATCAGCTAAGACTAAACAACTAAAGGACTAAAGGACTACTGCCCTGCTCCAATAAAATAAATGTTATAGAAGCAAAATACATTTTACCAGAACTGTGCGATTGCTTTGGTCTGAGGAACCGTTTTAAATAGTAAAACTGAAAAATAAAAAGCTTAATCTAGATTAATATCTCTTGAAATATCACCACGCATGATGAAATTTCTAAATAATTTTGTGGCTTAATGAACAAATGCTTCTAGTTTAAATTTCTTGCGCTAGATTTTGTTTTGTATTCTCACAAAATAAACTCACCCCGAATCACCAACATTAACAGTAACATATGAATGTTGGTTTGACCCTGGGGCACAAATCAAGTCTTAATTTATTTATGTTTTGGTTACAGGTCTTATAATAAGTGAAGCTATGACTTTCTCTAGCCTTGACTCACCATTTATTCATTAACCTCAGGGCCTGGCTGGTATCTGTACCTCATGCCAAAGTGTCTCTGTCAGTACAAACCTGTGAATCCATCATCCATCCTTTGTGATGTAATGCAGCCTCAAACGTCATGCTTAGAGTTACTTAAGATAAGAAAGTTACATTTAGTTTAGAGTAAAATATTATATAATTGACAGTTGTGAGCTTTAAGCCATGTTATTATGTTACCTCCTCAAAAACAGACCCAGAATTGTGTTTTGCTTCATTCACACACGTTTAGGTAACCCTTTATTATTGTCTGTTTACATCTCCAAAGCTCAAATTGCTTGGTTCCACCTTGTAATGTCATGAAGGGAACATTTTCACATCTAACTTTTACCTTTAGTTCAGCAGAGATTGGCAATTCCAGGGCTAAAATGATCCATAAGGTGGAGCAGAGTGTTTTCTGCTCAAGAGAAGAACTCAAAATATGTAGGATTTGTGTGTTCAACGTGTGTGAATGAAACAAAACACAACTCTGCATACGATTTTGATGAGTAAACAATATTATAACATCAGAAAACAGCATAAAATGGGCTCTTTATAGTGGAAGCAGTACGTTTTAAAGTGACAGTGTAGTCAAGATAATAAAAATGCATATTAGGTTAGGAGGGTTAGGAGTAACTCATTCACTACAAGAGATAACTGTTTACACTTTACACACTGTTCAAGGAGCAGACCGGGGCAAATTTCACAAAATAGGTGCCACTGATTCTAGCATTCATCTTCAACCAAACCAAATACTTAGTGATAGTAGTCAACTGCATGATTCCTGGGAAATATAAAATTAAAAACATACTTTGGAACATTCTCCGTGGAGCTAGTATGGCATAAAACAGATCTATTAAATATTATAGCCAAAATAACAATATTACTATGGAAACAGGAGGCAGGAGGCTAAATAAGAGTCAGGTTTGTGGAGATGCGAGCAAATTCAGAGTAAGCATGCATGTTTTTCAGTGCAATAAACATATCAGTAATAAAAAACTATGTTTTTTTGCTATAAGGTTACATACTACTGCTTTAAATTGATTATCATTATTAAAAAAATAGAAGAATATGTCTTTTTATGTCATGTAAACATTTATTTTTCTTTTCAATTTGATTTCCTAACGCTGGTCTCATATTAGAAGGAACAAAAATAACCTATTAATCTGAATACAAGTGAATTTCTTGCAAAATAAATTATAATAAATACTAATAAACTAAAAAAAAAACTACTACAACTATCATAAAATTGCAATGTCTTCTCTTAATAATCATAACACAATAATTTGAAATGACAAACCACCCATTATTTCTACAGGAAAAGCAACACCTCCCCATACCAGATTTAAATGGAGGATTAAGTCCTCAGACATGCCCTTTCATTCTTTTGCATGTAGTCAACTATAGTTATACTTGACAAGAAAAAAATCAAGTTTACATAAGAAGTCTTTGGTGTTTTTGTCTGCTTCTTCTCCACATTAGGGCTGTCAAGTGTAGGATTAAGATAAAGTTCAAAAGACTGCCAAAAAAAAAAAAAAAATAAAACAAAAAAACTTGTCTACTTATCAGTTCTTGGGCTTTATAGTTACTAAGAAAACGTATAATTCTTCCAGATCGTTAAGGTCAAAAGAGCTAAATTAGAAAAACAAATTGTGTGACAGTAAAGTTGTCAATAAATTAAGGTTTTGAGGCGTTATCTCCAGAATGTGAGGAATGCAAGAAGATTTGTGGTTACGCACCGAAAAACTGCTCAGATACACAAAACTTAACCAATGAAAACAGTTTGTAATAAATAAACAGGGGAAAACATAGTGTGGGAGCAGCAACAGGTGTATGCTAGGCTGGCTAATGTTTTCCAGTGGTAAAAGTTAGCATTAGCAAACATGCGTAACGATGCCAATTTGCGTAAAGTTTGGAAACAATTGTTAAAATTATGCAAATGAATAGGTCATATATTTGGTTAAACGTTGATAGTTAATGTTGTCCTTATGTTAATCGTTACCCATTGTTGTTTACGTATCTAGGCTTGTTAAAAGTACGAACAAAATAGTTGTAACATGTTTTTATCCTTACCAAGTGCAGGAGATTGAAGCGACGAACTCCACCAAATCGGCCAAGAAATGTTCGTAATTCCAGAGAAATTTAATATTTGAAGGTGTGATTTTAGCTTGACGGATACTCAGAGGATGGCTAAAGAGGAACAAGTGCACACAAGTGAAAAAAATGGAGCAGAAAGGGGCGGAAAGTGGGAGTTAAAATGAAACGCCAGCCTCTTCTCCATGGACGCACACGGCCCTCCTCCTGCGCCTGAGCCGAGGGAGCGGCGCATTCCGCGGCTCCATTCAGAGATAAAGAAATGTGGAATAAACACGCAACACTGACACCTACAGCTGCCCACAAAAACACATACTTTACACAGCAGGTGGAAAATAATAAACAATAAAACTGTTCTCCTTTGAGTGTTTGCCAGTGTGCAAATTAAAGTGACAAAGGATACAACAAGTTTGATGAGTGATCAGGCTTTACCCGTAATATCAGTGATTATTTGAAAGACAGATAAGCATTTTATTTATTAAATTATTTATTTAGTTTATTTGCCACTCATTTAATGTCTGGAGTGGTGGTCAGTTTTATGCCAAGAAATGCCAAAAATAATTTTGTGCATAAACGTTACTTGGCTCACTTTTAACCTGCTTATGGCTACATAAAATTAATAACCTAATACAAAGACTGTATAAAGATAGACTGTATATAAATACAGTATATATGTCTAAAACCCAGTAGCAGGGCAAATGGATTACTTGCACTGAAGTTTTTAGTCCAGGAGGTGGGAATATTAGGTGTGTCCACTGCTTTAAAACATGCAGATAAACTTAGTGGGAGCATTACCACCTGCTTTGCCTGAAATGTTCCACAGTAGAGCAACTTTTACATCTTTTGTTTCTCAGATTTCCTGTGTTTTTATTTCTGAATTAGCCAGAAAGGCATAGTCTGTCCATATCAAAACAGATGTGGTTGCTTCCAAGGGAAAAAAACAAATATCAGAAGGGACTGAAAAACATTGCAGATTTCTGCAGAATCAATGATCGAAAGACTAAACTGTAAATCGGAGGCGAGGGAAATAAAATGTATAGATAGATGACCAATAAGAACCAACGTTTCACATGCATCACGGAAAAAAACATATATGACCTGCAGTGTAACTTGGCCTAGTGTTACCTACTGTTCTGGTTTGTTTATATTGTGATTTTTATGTCATTCTTATTCTGTAAAGCATGTTGAATTACTTTGTGTGCGAACTGTGCTAAATAAACTTGCCTTGTCTGCCTGTCTCAGTGGAGATGGAAATGTTTAATTGCAACTGCAACACCCTCAACATGTCTAAGCAGATGTTTCACATGTTGCACAAATGCACATTGTGATTCGAGTTAAATTTGTATTTTCATTTCATGCCGTTTTGATTATTGCGAAATCTCAGGATCATGGTTAAACAGTGTGCCTTAAAGGGTCAAAGCAGACTTAAATATGCCCTTGTCTTTTGCATTTGACCCATCCTTCAGCTTTAGGAACACTGTCAAGAAACCCACAGCTGAAGGATTACGGAGGATATCGAAACACAGAGAACAAGCAAACCTGCACATACCAAAATCGGCCTTTATGCAGGGAGGGTAAATTTTGCGCATTTTGTGCATGTTTTAGCGTCCCTTTTTGAGTAATAGTTACATAATATACAGTCAATGGGTAATACCATGATAATAAAAAAAGGTGAAAACCGATCTATCCATAAACCCCAAAACAATCAGCACATATAGTTATATTATAGAGCTTGGGATGTCATTTTGAAAAGACACTGTAATTGGCAAAACTCGCCATTTTTCTAGCTACCGTGCAAAAAAACCAAATAAACAGGAAAAAGAGTAAGTGGAAAATGCTGATGGTTGGCTGGGTCATAATAAAAATAAAATACTTTTATCACACCATAGAGCCAGAATCATTTTGAATGAACTCCAAGGTGAGTATTTAGCATCTTAAAATCTACATTGGTTCAACATTAAGCCATCTGAAAATGTACATTATAGATCATCTGTGTTTAACTCGGTGGAGACCTAGGTTAGTTTTGACTTGACTAACTTGGAAATAAAATAAATTACATTTTCTAGTGTGAAAATCGCCAAACAAATCGGTCCCCATATTACAGTACAAGTGTCTGAACATTGCAATAAAAGTAAAAGAGTAAAAACAATACAAGAGGCAGGTCATGAATGCACCTTGCTGCATTATTTACAGCACTATTTATTTGATCTTGATAATGATGGGCAGAGATTTAAGCTGAAGACGCCCCAAAAAACGTGTCCTGAGCGTCACAAAGCAAAAAGAAACTGTTGAGTGCTGTTGATCGCGAATCCAAAAATCTCCTAAATTATTAATATGATTTTCTGCATTAGAAAAAAAACAACAAAAACGACATAAGACAAAAAACATAAGAGACTAACATGTAAAAACATCTTTGCTATGACCGTATGTATGCGCGAAAATACCTCAAGAATGACAACATATCAGCTATGTACAAAAACAACAATAATACATTTATATATTTATATACTTTTAACTTCTAGACCCACTGAAATATACCCAAGAAGCAGCTATTGGTCAATCTGACAACCTCAATTTTGCCATGGTTTAAATATCCTTCAGCTGTAAGTATGAAAGTTCAAAAATAAAACAGAAAAACAGACTGTAAATAAATTAAAAACCCAAACGTAACCCAAAAAATAATAAATGTGTGTTATTTCCTGTTGTGCCATTGCGGAATACTGCAGAGTTGATAAAGGAGGTAAGCCACTTCAACTAGCTTCTCCAGTGGATTCGAGTTTGTTCAAATGACAATATTTTAAATCCATTAAAGTCTTTTCAGTTCCTTTTCTGTAACATAGACTTTGAAACAGTTCTATGACAAGTGCTGTAGGCCACGGGCAAAATAGAAGGGCACTTTATATCACAAAAAATCTGAAGCGACAAACCCTTTAAAAGTTGTATCCAGAGGAAATTGGGACAGTGGGATTAGCAGCCTTCTTGTTTAAAGTTCATTTCACAGTTGAATCTTTTTCTCCATCCCATCTCAAACTTGGCAATTTATGTACAGTATACAAACTACAATCATGAACGAGAAAGTCAAGAGTTGCTCTGTTTTTAAATACAAAATAAGTGTCCGAAGGGGGTCCCGTGTGATTGGGACCACTGCTCTGTAGTGTTTGGTTGTGGCATCTATTGTAAAAAGGAGAAAAATAAAGTCCTGAGAAATGCACTGATTGGCGCGGTTGAGAGTGTGTGGTACAAGTGAAGTCTATATAATATAAAATGAAAATATATTTAATCTATGTTTTGTTAGGAGGGGGTGGAGCGGGGCAGAGCTAGTATCCGTCCGTTGCTCTTGCCTCCGTTCATGTGCGTAAAGGGCATGTGGTGCTCCTCGTAACTGCCCAGAAGGCCCATGGAAGCGGCCTCGTCTCTGTCCAAACTCTGGCCCTCTCTGTGGGAATAAGAGGAAGGGTCTAAGGGGATGCTCTCCATGTTTTCCATGTCCAGATCAAAGTCCTCGGTCTCTGGAGGTTTGTTTTCCTCGCTGTAGAAGAAAGACACGTCCTGGAAAGAGGGATGCAGGTCCTCCCGCAACATCTCGATGATCTCCTGAAACATGGGCCGCATTTTGGGGTTGTACTGCCAACACATTTGCATCAGGTTGTGTCTGAAGGAAGAGAGAGGGAAATTAAATTATTACTTAATATAACACCTTTCTGAACACTCAAAGACAGTGCACAAATGGT